GGAACCCATATATATCTATATATCTATATCTATATGTATCAAATATTTTTATTAAGATATAATTAATATACCATAAAATAATATATGCTTTTGAAGTTTACCACCAGTGGCTTTTAGTGGATTCAGAGTGTGTGAGCATCATCACTAACTCCAGAACAAGCCCTCACCCTGAAGGATCACCCCATGCCCAGTACCAGTCACTTCCCGTTCCTCCCTCCTGGATCCCCTGGTTGCCCCCGTCTCCTGTTTCTTTGGATCTTCCCTTCCAGTACTTCGCAGAGTGGGCTCTCACCGTGCAGGTCTTCATGCCTGCCGCTTCCACTCAGCACGAGCGGCGTCAGGCTCACCAATGTTGTAGCACACATAGAGTATGGCATCGGGGGGCTGCCAGACTGTTTTGCAAAGCGGTTGTACCATGTTCTCGTTCCCACAGTGATGTTTGTGGGCCTGGGAACCTGGATTTGTAGTAAGAATCCTGGTGATTCTTATGATAAAGCAATTTTGGAAAACCCTGTCTCTTGGAGGAGTCTGGTCTCTTGCTGTGGTGGTTGTGTTGGTTCTTACCCGGTACGAGCAGTGCTGAGGGACACCCTGAGTGCTGCCAGGAACACGGCACCAGGCGCTGCTCTGCAAGATCCAAGAAGAAGCATCTCCAACAGAGCAAACTAAGGGCGGGGGGGCATCCAGGCGGAGTGGGATGTTTTGGTTTTTGTTTAAATTTTTTAAGTGGGATATGTAACAGAAACCTAGTTGTGCTGTGAAAACTCAGAAGACGCAGGTGGATGCGGCATAGACAGGGAAGTCGTGCATGCGTGTGCTTCTCCTCAGTGGGCACGGGGACGAGTCCTCGTGGCGTGAGCCTGACTTCCCTCCATTTGTATGTCTTCTGTGTTTGTTCATTTACTTTTGTTTTTAAAAATTTTACATTGCAATATATTAGTTTCAGGTGAACAACATAGTGATTAGACATTATATAACATGTGAAGTGATCCCCCCAATAAGTCTAGTACCCACCTGGTGCCAATGGTATTGACTGTATTTTCTGTGTTGTACTTTACATCCCTGTGACTGTTTTGTAACTGACATTGCGTACTTCTGAATCCTTCAGCTTGATCACCCATCCCTCGACACTGCCCCACCCCACCCCCATCTCCTCTGGCAAACATCAGTCTGATCTCTGTATCTGTGAGCTTGTTTCTGTTTTGTTAGTTTTGTTTTTAGATTCCACATATAAGTGAAATCATATGGTATTTGTCTTTCTCTGTCTGTCTGACTGACTTTATTTAGCATAACCCTCTTGGTCCATCCATGTTGTTGCAACTGGTAAGATTTCATTCTTTTTACAGTTGAGTAATATTCCACTGTATATCTGTACCACCACTTTTTATCTGCTCGTCTGTCCGTGGACATTTAGGTTGCTTCCATGTCTTGGCTATTGTATATGACATGTCCTTCTTTGTCTCCTATTATAGTCTTTACTTTCAGAGTATATTTTGTCTGATCTAAGTATTGTTACCCCAGCTTTTTTTCATTTCTGTTTGCCTGAAATACCTTTTTCCATGTCTTTACTTTCAGTCTGCGTGTGTCTCATTCTGAAGTGAGTCTCTGGTAGATAGCATAGATAGGGTCTTATTTTCCAGCCACCCTATGTTTTTTGTTGGGAGCATTTAATCCATTTACATTTAAAGCAATTATTGATAGATGTATGTCTACTTTATTATTCATTTTTCATTTTCTTCTTAAAGAAGTCCATTTACTATTTCTTGTAATACTGGTTTGGTGATGATGAACCTCTTTAGCTTTTTCTTGTCTGGTCTAGGATGAAAAGAACACACACACACATATCTAACCCATTTTATCTTGAATTGCCTTGTGTGGTTTTTAATTAGCCACAAAAGAAAGTGTTAGATGATATTGACAGATTATTCTGAACTCTAAATTAGGGAGAAAAAACTCTTTTCATATGTAGTAGGATTTGAGTTCTAAATTGAGAGGTCTCCCAGACAAGATTTTATATGTAGGGCAAATCTTCTATGATAGAAATAAAAACCTACTTTGGAACACTGCCTCTGCAGCCCCCAGACAGCTGTATCTCCCCTCCCAGAACAGGGCCTGAGGGGCAGCTGAGGAGCAGCACCCCTTCAAAGCCAGGGCTCCCCCTTCACCGAGGCACAGCAGTAGGCGTTCTCTCTGGGCCGCTTAGCAAACACAGAAGCAGAATAAGTAAGTGGTCTTCTAGGCTGTCACGAGCGGAATTTCAGTGTCCCCTGAGCAAGGCCTTCACTGTGGACCTAGCATTTCAACAGCAAGCAGAGTCTGGAGGGCTGTGGGGACACAGGCTTCTCCGCAGCATGGACAGCGGACCTAGTAGAGCCCAGGCCTGCCTGCGTGCTAGGAGGTGCCTTCGGCAGGTTCAGCTCTCCTGCTTTCTTTCTAATTGTCCGTATTGTGGTTCAGTATACACAGCACAGCATTCACCATCTGACCAGTGTTAAATGTGTAATTCAGTGGCTCTGAGCACGTTCAGAAGGCTGTGTAACCATCACCATGTCCATGTCCAGAACCTTTTGTCATCCCAAACAAAACCTTTATCCCTGAACTGTAACTCTCTACTCCTCTTCCTCATTCTGATCTGTCTGTGACTGGACAGCTCTCAGCAACTCCTGTGAGTGGAGTCATGCAGTGTGTGTCTTTCTGTCTGGGCTGTGTCGCTGAGCCTGGCCTTGGCAGGGTGCATCGTGTTGTAGCATGTATTTGCGTCGTTCCTTTAGTGCTGAGTGACACCCCCTGTGTGGACAGACCACATGGGTTTGTCGTCCATCTGTCGAGGGCATTTGAATGGCTCCACCTTTTGGCTCCTGTGAACAAGCCACTCTGAACCTGCTTGTCCACGTGCCTGTGCACACCTGTTTCAGTTCTTCTGGGTGCACACCCCGAAGTGGGGTTGCTGCGCCAGGTGCTCACCTGGCGGTCTGTGTGCTCACCTTTGTGAGGAGCCACCAAGCTTCCCAAGGCCACTGCAGCATGTTGGATGGCCCCACTGTGCACGGAGCCCAGCTTCTCTCCGTCTGTGTCAACGCTTGCTGTTCACTACTCTTTGTATAGTGACGTCCTGATGATGTCCGTATGGTTTGGATTGCATTTCTCTAGTAATAGAGGTGTTGAGCGTCCTTTCCCAGGCTTGTTGACCATGTATTTTCTTTGTGGAAATGGCTATTCAGGTTCTTTGCCCATTTTTAAAAATTGGGTAACTTGTTTTATTGTCGTTGAAGTTTTTTATATATTCTGTATATAAACCACTTATCAGATCTATGATTTCCAGACTTGTGTTTCTTTTTAAAAACACAGCTCTGTGTTGCTCGGTGCTGGTGATGGCTTGTAAATTCTGCTCAGCTCAGTCTTTCATCTTCCCTGGGTGACATGACCTGGCCACTCACCTTTTGAACTCGTGTCCTCACTGGAGGTGGAACAAGTGTGCCTTCCCCCAGGAGTTCCTGTGGTCCCTGAGCAGGGCCAGCAGAGGAGCCCCATGGCCTCTGTCCCTGTTGCTGCCCCTGCCAGGGCCGACGCCAAGTGTGTGTTCCCAGAGCCCTTGCACCGAATCTCTTTCTTCCCAACAAGATGGACATCGCAGCCTCATGTGCCCCGACCAGTCACACACAGTGCCCAGTAAACAGGAGAGGACAGCGTGAATGCTGTCTCATCACCGCACTTAGGTTGTTCACTTTGTCCCCACTTCCCCCCTGTGCGCAGTGTCCAGGAGAGCGCCTGCTCACTGTGGGCGCCTGATGAACTGCTTAGGGGAACGTGGTGAAGCAGTGAGTGCGGGTCCTGAGCTGGGCTGGGGGAGGCATCCAGGGCATAGGAAAGTGACCATGCGGAAAGCTCTGAGCAGAGTCTCTCCATCTGAGCGTTGTTTCCTTTGAAGAAGGAAGAGGGGCAGTGCCTCCTCTCCAGCTGCAGACACTGGCTTCTCAGCGCAGGCCTCACCACAGAGGGTGTGGGTTGTAGCATCTGCCCCTTGCTGTGCAGGGGGCTCTGGTTCTAATTGAGGATGCCGTCCACCAGGACCATGCTCTCTCGACATCGCTGGAAGTGATTTCACACTGGGAGTATGTTAGGACCACACACATGTTTGATCTTGTCGGGCAGTTTAGAATTTCATTTGTTGGGTCAGTGTTCTATCTGTGTTGACCTTGACACTTTTTCTCCCAGTTAATTCTTTGGGGGTTCTAGAAAGGACTCGCCATCTTCACCTTACCCCCACTTCCTTCTCCCCTCCCACTGCTCCCTGCCTGTACCCTCCTGCTGCTCCTTCCTCCTCCCCTCCTCTTTTCCCTCCCTTCCTTCCTTTTACCCTTTGGAGGCTTTCTGTTGCACAGATTACTTCATCTTTTTAAAATGATCGTTATTCCTTGGACGAGTCTCTGGAACTGTCACCTGTCAGAACCCTCTAAGCCGTGTGTGCATTCCGTCTGATATTTCTGTGGCGTCCAGACAGCTGTGCGCACAGAGCAGGTGCGGCAGGCCTCCCGCGAGCCTGGCTGCCCCACCGGCTCCCCTCCCGTGCCTGTTTGCCCGTGTGTGAAGCGGGCCCTGTGACCACTTCTGTGGTCCATGGGGGTGGTTCAGTACAACAGTCCCAGCTGATTCCTCTGCCCAGGTGACTGATTTCTAGGCTTTCTATAAAAGTGTGCTACCTGCTTTTTTCACTTAATAGCCCAAAGCCAGTTTGACTGAGAGTCTTTGACTGAATTGCTCAAAGAAGGACAAAGAGAAGAAGGGAGAGATGGGAGGCAATAGCGGTGCCTCCGACCTAGGGTGTTTCAGCAGGTCGGCGACGTTGCAGACCTTCACTGGGACCTGCCTGCTGCCCTGGGCCCTCTGCGTGGCCTGACTTCCGTGAGGCTCTCAAGACTGGCCGCCTCCAGGCTGTGCGAAGGAGAGCAGACCCCCTCATTTTCTCAGTGTCTGATGCAGGCACTTTCTCTGTCTTGCAGCTGATGCTTTCTTCAAAGCTGCCATAAGCCTCGTTCCGGAAGTCCCGAAGATGATCAACATCGATGGGAAGATGCGGCCGTCGGAATCATTCCTGCTGGAGTTCCTCTGCAATTTCTTCTCTACGTTGTTAATAGTTCCGGTATGTTTCCCCAGGAGAGCTGCAGGTGATGTCTTTGTTCTGCTTAGAGCCCTAAAGTGCAGGAAGGTTCTGTCTATATGTTGGTTTTGTAATCAGATGTTGGAATTTCTCAGAGCATTTTCCATTCTGTGTCCTGATTGTGTTAGTTGAGGCTCTGCATATGGTCAGGGATGGGGGTCACTTAGTGACAGGTGCTCAGACATCAGGACCAAGATGCCTCGGATGGACTCCCGGGTCCCCACCCTGCACTCTACAATCTTGCGTAATTATGTGGTATTACTGGGCTGCAGTCTTTATTTTATTTTATTTTATTTTTTTAATCCTCACCCGAGGACATTTTCCCATTTTTTTGTTCAGGTAGAGTGGGAGGGAGAGAGAGGAACAGAGAGAGAGAGAGAAACATTGATGTGAAAGGGACACATCGAGTGGCTGCCACCCGCACGACCGACAAGGGCCGGGGACAAACTGCAACCGAGGTACGTGCCCTTAGCGGGAACCGAACCCGGGTCTCTCCAGACCGCAGGCCGACGCTCTAACCGCTGAGCCAAACCGGCCAGGGCTGGGCTGCAGTCTTTTTGTCTGTGAAATAGGAATAATAATAATAATAATAATAATAATAATGGTATCTGCATCTAAGCATCGCTGAGGATTAAGTGAGTGAACTTGTGTACGCAGTCAGAACAGTGACTTGGCACACAGTGCTGAAATAGGTGATGGTAATGTCCCTTTGATGGCAGGTACTAGAAACCAAACCACAATAGCCAAGGTCAAAGGGGACATTTGGAAGGATGCTGGGGTTTCTTGTGGACTGTAAGAGAGAGTTGAGCAGTTTGGGTTGGGCTGGGAAGAATCAGGGCCCCCAGCCTGATGACAAGCACAAGGACCCTGACCCTACGAGGGCTCTTAACAGAGGGTCCAGCTACTGCCCGGGAGCCGGGCACAGTGGCCATAAATGTAGATGAGGAAAGAAAATGACATCTTTGTTTTTACAAACCTCAGTGAAGTGTATAGCTTTTTACTCCATTATGAATGATAGGCAACGGGCCAGTGTTTGTCACAGTAGCTGAGATGCTGTCACCAATAGAAATCACCAATGTGCCTTGGCCAGTGTGGCTCAGTTGGTTGGTGCACCAAACGGTCTCCGGTTTGATTCCCAGTCAGGGTACATACTCAGGTTGTGGGTTTGATCCCTGGTCGAGGCACATACAGGAGCCAACCAATTGATGTTTCTTTCTTTCTCTCTCTCAACAATGAAAGGCATAGCCTTGGGTGAGGAATTAATAAATTAATTAATTAAATAAATAAATAAATATCACTAATATGTTTGATCACAGTCCAGGTGTGAAAGAGATTGCAGAAGATTGACTGTGTGCTTTCTTCCCTAGAAAGCACAGCAGTTATTAGTCCCATCATTAGGTCTGTTATTTAAATGTATTCACCAAGGAGTCATAGTTACAATACAACAACTGTACTGAAGAGAGATTTTGATAATTACTTTAGTGCATTTGGTTTCCTTTGTCATCTTACACATTTCATTTTCTGCGCAGTATCCTGAGGAGCCATCTACCTCCCTAGGCTGTGATAGGTCTGGGCACAGAGGCCGGCTCTTGGTGGAGCCAGACGTGTGTAGGAATCAGGGACACCTGTTGACATGCAGAATCTTTGAGCCTCTCCCAGAGACTGTCCCTCTGAACCGGCCTGTTTGAAAGCTGCCTCAGAAGTTCAGGTGGCCCTAGAGTCACACTGTGAGAACTGTCCCTCTGGACTTGGGCCCTGAAAGAACTCAGCTCCCATGGGGACAGAGCTCCTTTGGGGTGAAGAAAACATCCTAAACGGAGTGTGGCAAGGATTGCACAGATGTGCATGTGCCAGCAGCCACTGAGTTGTGTGTTTGCGTGGGTGGGTCATTGGGTGTGAAATGTGTCTCCATGACGCTGAGGACACAGAAGTGGCTCAGCTCCCACAGCCTTCCCAGTCAGGTCCCAGGATTTCTGGAGAAAGGTTGGAGGCTGGGCGCAACTCTTCACTTGGGGTTTTCTTATTTCCTTCTTAGTACTTTTAGTAATTTTTTCTCTGTTTTGGATAGTTTAGCTACTAATTTTTTTTTTTTTAATCCTCACCCGAGGACATTTTTCAATATTTTGTCCAGTTAGAGTGGGAGGGAGAGAGAGAGAAAAAAACATTGACGTGAAAGGGACACATCGAGTGGTTGCACCCACACGACCCAACCAGGGCCGGGGACAAACTGCAACCGAGGTACGTGCCCTTAGCAGGAACCGAACCCGAGTCTCTCCGGACCACAGGCCGACACTCTAATCGCTGAGCCAAACTGGCCAGGGCTAGTTTAGCTACTAATTTAACAAGGAAGGTGACGAAAGAAATTAGGTTTCTCAGGAGGAAGTTGATCAGTGTCATTGTTCATTGACTTCCTGGGAGGCATTTTCTTCTGCGGAAGTCGTTACGTTAAAAACCCTCAGAGCCTGATGGAAGCCTTGTGCTTGGAGTTAGTCAGAAACTGGCATGAGGTCCTGACCCATTGACTCCATGGCCTTGCATCCCTGGGAAGGTTTTATAGTTCCTCAAAGCCTTAGTTGGCACTTTTCTAGAATGTCCTCAGAACACCCACCTGTGGGCTGCGGTAAGGGACCACAGTGATAGCGGTGAGAGTCACTGAGCCGTTCGTTGGGTCAGACTGACCAGGGGGTGGAATCCAGCATATAGGCACAGTTGCTGGCCGCATTGTCATGGGAAACATTTGGAATGAGTTACCCATCTTTAAAAATTGGTAGATGGTAGAAAAACCCACATTTTCAGTTCCTCTTAAAAAATCAGGTCATGCTATGTGGGGCCCCCATTCCCTGACCTAACCAACTGGCCACAGCTGGGGAGCAGCTGCCCCATTTGGGGTGGGGGTGGGGATTTTGCACTGTCTTTAGTTCCCCTGGGCACCTCCACACTCACAAGGCCCTTTTCTGTTGCCTGCCTGGCCCCGTGGGCGTGGGAATGCCCCCATCTCAACAGGACTTCCAGTTCCTGTGCCAGTGCTTGTGCTTTAGCTGGGGTTTGCTAAAGGTGGTGAGAAGAGTCACTACAACTTGTGACTTCTTACTACAGGTGACCCTTGAACAACAAGGGTTTGAACTTCCAGGGTACACATACACGGATCTTTTTCAGTAAACATACAGTCCTCCCTGTCCAGTTTTTCCAACACTATTTATTAAAGAGATTGTCTTTACTCCATAGTATGCTTTTGCTCCTTTGTCAGATAATTATTGACCATACGGACATGGGTTGATTACTGGGCTCTCTGTTCTGTTCCAATGATCTATAAGCCGGTTCTGGTGCCAGTACCAGGCTGTTTTGATTACAATGGCTTTGTAGTATAGTTTGATATCTGGTATTGTGATCCATCCAACTTTGTTCTTCTTTCTCAAGATTGCTCTGGCTATTTGGGTCTCTTTTGGTTCCATATAAACTTTTGGAATATTTGTTCTAGATCTGTGAAATATACCATTGGTAGTTTAATAGAGATTGGGTTTAATCTGTAGATTGCTTTGGGTAGAATGGCCATTTTAATGATGTTACTTCTTTCAAATCATGAACCGTTACTTATATCTTCCTAAGTTTTTCTTCAATGTCCTGTAGTTTTCTGAGTACAGGTCTTTTACCTCTTTCTGTTAGTTCATTATTGGTGTATAGAAATGCTACTGATTTCTTAATATTAATTTTATATCCTGCTGCTTTACCATATTATTAGATTTAGTAGTTTTTTTGGTGGAATCTTTAGCATTTTCTATATATAATATCATGTCACCTGCAACTAATGACAGTTTTACTTCCTTTTTTTTTCAATTTGGATGCCTTTTATATCTTCTGTCTGATTGCTGTTGGCTAAGAGTTCCAGTACTATTGAATAAGATTGGTGAAGGTGGATGTTTCTGCCTTGTTCCTGATCTTAAGCAAAATGCTTTTCATTTTTGCCCGTTGAGTATGATGTTGGTTTTAGGTTTTTCACATGTAGCTTTTATTATGTTAAGGTATGATACCTCTATTCCTCCTTTGTTGAGAATTTTTATCATAAATGGGTGCTGGATATTATTGAATGCTTTTTCTGTGTTCGTTGATAAGATCATGTGATTTTTATCTTTCATTTTGTTTATGTGGTGTATCACATTTATTGATTTGTGAATATTGTACAACCTTGCGTCCCTGGAATAAATCCCACTCAATCATGGTGTATGATCTTTTTACTGTGTTGCTGGGTCAGATTTGGTAATATGTTATTGAAGATTTTAGCATCTGTGTTCATCAGGGATATTGGCCTATAATTCTCTTTGTTTGTAGTGTCTTTATCTGGTCTTGGAATTAAGATAATGCTGGCCTCATAAAAAGAGCTTAGAAGTCTTCCCTCCATTTGAATTTTCTGGAATACATGTTAATTCCTCTTTGCATCTTCGGTAATCTTTGGTAAAATTCGCCTATGAAGCCATCCAGTCCATGACTTTGTTTGCTGGGAGTGTTTTTAGGACTGCTTCAATTTAATTAGTTGTTTTCAGTCTATTCAGGTTTTCTGAATTTCTCTGATTGAGTTTTGGAAGATTGTATGTTTCTAGTAATTTATTCATTTTGTCCAGGTTATTCAATTTATTGGCATATAGTTGTTCATAGTAGTATTTTCTTAAAATCTTTTGTATTTCTGTGATATTTATTGTTACTTTCTTTTCATTTCTGATTTTATTTATTTGGATCCTCTCTCTTTGTTTTTTGATGACTCTGGTAAAAGGTTGATCAATCTCGTTTATCTTTTAAAAGAACTAGCTCTTGATTTCATTGATTTTTTTTTTTTAATTTTTATTTTTTATTTCTGTGTCATTTTTGCCTTAATCTTTATTATTTCCTTCCTTCTACTTACTCTTGGCTTTGTTGTTCTTTCTCTAGTTCTTTTAGGTGTCGGGTTATATTGTGTATTTGAGATTTTTCTTTCTTCTTGAGATAGGCCTGTAATGCTATGGACTTACCTCTGAGAACTGCCTTCACTGTGCCCCATTGATTTGTAGTTGTTGTGTGTACATTTTTCTTTGTTTCCAGGTAATTTTTTATTTCTATTTGATCTCATTGGTAACCCATTCATTGTTTAATAGCATGCTATTTAGCTTCCATGTCTTTGAATATTTTTGAGCTTTTTTATTGTGGTTGATTTCTAGTTTCATCCCCTTGTGATCTGAGAGGATGCTTGATTTAATTTCAGTCTTCTTGAATTTGTTAAGACTTTTGTGTCCTAACATGTCATCTATTTTTGAGAGTGTTCAGTGTGTACTTAGAGAAGAATATATATTCTGCTTTGGGATAAAATGTTCTGTAAATATCTATTTAGTCCTCTGACCTAGTGTGTCATTTAAGTTCGCTGTTCCCTTGTTGATTTTTTTTATCTGGAAGATCTGTTTATTGTTGATAGTGAGGTGTTCAAGTCTCCTATTATGACTGTATTACTGTCAATCTCTCCTTTATAGCCACTAAGATTTTCTTTATATACTTAGGTGCTCCTATATTGGGTGCATATGTTTTCAAAGGTTATATCTTCTTCTTTTATTTTACTTTTTTTTTTTTTTATCCTCAACCAATGATATGTTTTTACTGACTTTAGAGAGAGGGGAGGGAATAGAGAGAAACATTGATGTGAGAGAGAAATGTTGATTGGTTATCTCCCATATGCACCCTGACCAGGGATCAAACCTGCAGTCTATGTATGTGCCCTGACCAGTAATTGAACCCACAGTCTTTTGGTGCACAGGACAACGCTCTTACCAGCTAGCCACCCATCCAGGGCCCTCTTGTTGCATTGATCTGGTTAGTATTATGTAGTGATGTTCTTTGTCTCTTGTTATAAGGTCTTTGTCTTGAAGTCATTTTTGTCAGATACAAGTATTGCTACTCCAGCTTTCTTCGTTGTTGTTTATATTTGCATGGAATGTTTTGTTCCATCCCCTCACTTTCAGCCTGTGTGAATCTTTTGTTTGAGATCAGTCTCTTGTAGACAGAATATATATTGGTCATGTTTTCTTATCCATTCATCTGCCATATTTCTTTTGATTGAAGCATTTAATCCATTTACATTTAAGGTTATTATTGATAGGTACTTATTTATTGTCATTATTTCTTTATACCTATATTCTCTTTCACTACATGTATATGTACATGTATATGTGTATACTTCTTTTCTTGTAGCCACCCCTTTAACATTTCTTTCAGTACTTGTTTGGTGGTAATGTACACCTTTAGCCTTTTTGTGTCTGGGAAGCTCTTTGTTTCACCTTCAATTTTGAATAGCATTGCTAGCTAGAGTAGTCTTGGTTGCAGATCCTTGCTTTTCATTACTTTGAATATTTCATGCCATTCCCTTCTGGCCTAAAGTGTTTCTGATGAGAAATCAGCTGACAGTCTAATGGCAACGCTCTTGTAGGTAACTTTCTTTCTCTCACTTGCTGCCTTTGAAAATCACTCTTTGGCCCAGCTGGTGTGGCTAAGTGGTTGAGTGTCGACCCTGCACCAAGAGGTCGCCAGTTTGATTCCTGATCAGGGCACATGCCCAGATTGTGGGCTTGATCCCCAGTGGGGGGCATGCAGGAGGCGGCCATTTGATGTTCTCTCTCATCGATGTTTCTATCTCTCTCTCCCTCTCCCTTCCTTTCTCTAAAATCAATAAAATTTTTTTTTTTTTTAAATCACTCTTTGTCTCTAACTGTTGCCATTTTAATTATGATGTGTCTTGGTGTGGGTCTCTTTGGGTTCATCTTGATTGGGACTCTCTGTGCTCCGTGGCCTTGAGTGAACTTCCCTTGAACAGGTAGGGAAGCTCAGTGCCCTTGCTCACTCTCCTCTCTTCCTCTGGCCCCTGTGATGCAGATGCTGTGCCAGAGCTCCCTACATTGCCTAGCTGCACTTTTTGTTTTGTTTTTTGCTGGCTGTTTTTGTTGTTGTTGTTGTTTTGTTTTATCTTCCTAATTGCTGATTCAATCTCATGCTTCATCTAACTTACTTTTTATTCCTTCCATTGTATTCTTGATGTCAGATATGGTATTCTTCATTTCCAGCTGGTCCTTTTGCATGGTTTCTGTGTCCTTTGTCATGCTATTGTAGTTCTCACCGAGTTCCTTGAGCATCCTTATAACTGTTACCTTGAACTCTATATCTGATATATTGCCAGAATCTGCAACTCTAGTTCCCCTAGGGGGACTCACAGCAGGTTCTGGTTGGGTGCAGTCAGCCATCCCCTCTGCAGGAGCAAGCTCAGCTACCCAGTCTCAGGGACAGATCTAAGGAGTCTCCCGCTGAAGATGATGCTGGACCAGCCTACAGGAGGGGGCTAAGTACTTCATCCTGGTCTCAGACAGTAACCTCCAAGGGTCTCCCACTCACTTTGAATGTCCCTGCTCTGAGCCACTCTTCCTTTGGAACTGTGCCCAGCATGTGTATCTGGGACTTGGCAGGGCTGATCTAGTCTCCCCTTGGGGGTGGTGCCTGTAACCCTTTTTCGATTCAGTTTAGCATCTGAGAAACACTGCTTGGTATATGAGGACAGGATTGTAATTTTGGAAACAGGCCATTAAGCTGACAGGTGACTTTGCTTTCTCATATCTGGGACCCAAAAAGGGAGGCTCTCAGAGCTTGCCTGAACAGACTGCAGCATGCTGATGAGTGGGATGAAGGACCTTTTATCTTTTTTCTCTATTGTTTAACCATAGCTGGTACTTAAATTTATCCATAGCTGCTAAAGGGAGGGCCCTGCGTTTCTGTCTTGACTTTTTTTCTCCTGCTCATATCTAAGAATATTTATCCTGTTTTGGTTCTTCACTAGGATCATCCTGAACATGGAGTCCTGTTTCTTGTCCGGGAGCTTCTCAACGTGATCCAGGACTACACCTGGGAGGACAACAGTGATGACAAGATCCGCATCTATACCTATGTCCTGCACCTCCTGTCTGCCATGAGTCAGGAGACCTACCTCTACCACGTAGACAAAGGTAGCCAGGCCCCTCCACCAGGCTGCACTGTGCTCGAATCTCACTGATGTCAAGTAGAATGTCTTCGTTTTCTTCCATTTAGTGTGCCTGTGTCTTAGCTGCTGTGAACTTCTAGTCCAGGGGCTCACTGCATGTGCCATGTAAGGGTTACCTGGGGCAGCCCTTAAGAATACAGACTCCGGAGCCCCAGCCTCTTCTCATTTGGGATCCCAGGAGGAGACCTGAGGCTCTGTGTCATTAATAGCACCCAGGGGCCAAGATGGACAATCACATGAATTCCTAGAGCCCCTCTTTGGGCCGGTGCCGGTACTGTTCTGCAGCAGGACCTGGAGTGGTGATTGAGTGTACATGTGCACCAGCTCCATCCCAGGCTGCTCGTGCCACATCTCAGGCGGCCTTGAGTGGGGTGTCTGCCTGACCAAGCCCCTGGATCAGATGCTCAGAAGGGAGGATGTGGCCCAGGGCAGCCGCATGCATCCCGCCATTCTGAACTTGCTGCTATAAGAGTGGGAGCAGCCTCCTCAGGTCCTGTACAGCAAAGGACAGCCCCAGTCCAACCTCTGCCTGAGCCTAGGCATCTCCCTGCTTGTCAGACCTTTAGTTCTAATGTTTGGTTTCCAAAAAAAAAAAAAAAATGGCCCTGTTGTTTAAAGTGCTCTTAGCCAGTAATTGTATACTTTAGGGTTTAAGCAGCCGTCTGTACATTGAGAAGTTTCAGGGGTCACATGAGCAATGGTGAGGGATACAGCCTCTGCGGCTGGGAGGCTGTGTCTAGCTGGGTTGTGGGGATTGGGGTGGAGATGCAACAGTGGGGGCTGGTTATTGTCATGATTGCTGCATGTCAGGTACCACTCTAGACTCCAGGGGCTCGCCCTTTGAACCCTCCCAGCATTGTGATGGAGACAGGAGACAACCTGGTTTACCAACCACAGGGGCTCAGGGCCAGGCAGTGGTGGAAGTGGAATTCACACTCAACTGTGGGGCCTATCTTATGCTGCCTGCTTGATTACAAAGTGAGAATGTTTTAATTAAGTATACCCTGAACTACAGAGCTCAGAGAATTATCACAAAGCGGACACGCCTGGGTAAGCACCACCAGGTTAGGAAGTGGACTCTTACTGGTTCCTTAGAAGTGCCCAGCGTGCTTCCTTCAGGTGGACACTGCCACCTGCCCCCCAGAGGTGCAGTCTCCTGGCTCCTGACCTCACTCATAGGCTGCCAGTTCCACTTTGATGGAAATAGGCCCATTCAGCAAGCCCTCTGGTGTGTGGCTTCTGCGCAGCACTGTTCCAGGAGTCTTCTGAGCAGGGCCCTGCTCCCGCTGTGCACTGCTGGCCCCGCCCTGCGGGCCAGCCACACCCCCTCACCTCCACATTTGCGCTCCTGCGCTGCTGAGGGGCCGGCTGTAGGGGCGGGCCACTGGGGGGCGGGGCTGCTGGAGGGGAATGGTGCTGCTGGGGGGCAGGGCCTCTGGTGGGTGTGGCGCCTTGGGGCTGCTGCGGGGCGGGCTGCTTGGGGGGGAGTGGGGCTGCTGGGGGGCAGGGCCTGGGGGGTGTGAGGCTTTGGGGCCGCTGGGGGGAGTGGGGCTGCTGGGGGGAGTGGGGCTGTGGGGGCGGGGCTGTGGGGGGAGTGGGTGTGGGGCTGCTGGGGGAGGTCCCTGCATCTCTGCTTCCTGGCACTCAAGCCTGTTGGTGTATCCCTGGGGGTGGGAATGCTGGCCCCGCCTGTGGGATTTGCTCAGGTTCAGCTTTGGTGGATACTAAGTCGGTTTCCAGAATCATTGCACCACCTGACACTCCCACGGGCATGAATGAGAGTTCCATGTGTTCCCGTGGTGTGGCCAGTCTTTTTATTTGGGATATTCTGATGAGTGTAATTTACATTTCTCTGATGGCTGATTAGGTTGCACACATTTTCCTGTATTTGTCGTCATTTTCTATCTCCCTTTGGGATGCACATGTGCAGGATTCTGAACGGTAGACTCTGGAGGACACACTGATGTGGAGGTGGGTCTGTGAACCACGGCCAGGCCTGTCCGAGGAGCCAGCTCTCTCCTCGTCATTCTTGGGTCCAACCACAGCCAGGCAGACGGGAGTAGGAGTGCTAGCAGGGGGTGTGGGTCCCTTCCAGGGGTCCAACGATCTGGCTTTGAGAGAGGAAATCCAAAGGATGGGTTTTCTTTTCCTTCCTCTGGGCCCACCTGTGTTTACTTTGGATCTGCATTGTGACTTGACAGCTGTCTCAGTGGGAGACAGAGGCTGCAGAGACTGCAGAGACTTTCCAGGGGTTGCAAGTTCCCTTTTCCCACCCTTTTCCTATTGTAGGCAGCCTTTTAGACAGCAGTGACCAAGACAGGACTTCTGAAAAATGGGTCAAAAACTTCTTGCATTTATGAAGGATGGTTTGGCTGCCTTCTTTCCAGATTAATACAAGGAGAATGTTTTGAAATTATCCAGAGAACTCCAGTGCTTTCATGCCAGAGAGTGAGCATGGTTAATGGTGAAGGGAAGGGTACTACACCATGTGCTCATTACTGAATATGCGGAGAGGATGGAGTGGGGAGAGGGTGGCTCCGGGTGCCGCTGTCAAGCCAGCATCGATCCTGCACTCCTCCATGCCACCTGCCACAGCCTGAAGCATCTGGGGTTGTGACCTCAGGGCCAGAGAGTTGCTGAGATTGTGGGCTATTTTTAGTGGCCATTTGCCAGGGATATCATTTCTCCCCTGATCTGGACTCTCAGGCTCCCCCTACAGAGCCTAACCAGCTTCCTTCTAATTCTCCAAGTCACCCTTCCCCCACCCTCCTGGCACCACCAAGTGTTAAGGTAGACACTTGTTTGCCTGCTCCTGACCCCTTTTTTCACTTTCTCCAGTAAATTCAGTGTGGGTTTTACTAATTCCAGAATTCTATCCCAAGCCTAGATTTTAGGATCCTGTGACCCCTGTACCGCCCCTCCTGACACTGGGCACAATTGCAGTTGTCTGTCTGCTCCTCAGTGTCTCTCGAACAGACTGCGAGCTCTGGGAGGGCAGGGCATGGCTGGCCTTGTTCCCCACTGGGACCCCAGCACACCTTTGGCCTCCGGTCAGGAAGTCTGCAGCTTGGCTGGTGAGCCGTGGTGCTTTTAGACTGTCTCTCTCCTTTTTTGGGCTAATCAGAATGAGAGTAGATTCCAGCCTGGAGTAAGACTGGGAATTGATGCCAGGGACTATCCTAGTCCTCCTCGGCAGAGACGTGAGAAATTCCTTTACCAGCTATAGTTTTGCCTTTCTGCACAATCAGGTGGTGAATGGCTGAATAAAGTTCTTTCACTTTTTACAAGAATAACTGCTGTCCTCCACGTGGTAGAGAATTGTGACAGATGCCAGAGCGGTTTTAGAAATCCCGTGACAGCCCTGTGTGGCTCAGGGCCTTTTCCTGCCAGTCTGGTGTTGGAGGAGTAACAGCAAAGCAAGTAGTTAGCCTAGAAAGCGTCTCCTGGAAGGTCCCCACAGAGACACTTCGGAGCTGGTTTAGAGATTACCTGCAGGCAGTGCGCCCTGCTTACAGATGGGGTGTGTGTGGAGGGGAGGGGTGTTGTAGTGAGAGCAAGTGAGAAAGCAGGCCCAGAAGTATCAAAATGGCATCAGCTGTTGATTCTAGGGGAGAGAGGAGTCTTCAGTGTACTGTTTCTCCAGCTTTTCTGTAGCCTTGATATTCAAGAGCAAATTATATTCCTAAATGAGCTCAACGAAACTCATTTTGTTAGAAATATCTCTAAACCACAAACCAGATCAGTGCCATGTGCTTGTGGCCACTCGTACATGGCCACCCCTCTCGAGGCACCAGCTTGGCTTCTGGTGTTCCAGATGTCACCACACCTGGGACACTGGCCCACAGTTCAGGCCTCCCCAGATCAGAAGCAGCCCAGAGCTGCCCCTCCCCTCGCCCTTTTGCTGACCACGAGATTATGGGCGCACGCAGCCTGCGACTCTGCTGGAAGGCTACCTACAGCACTGCTCCCTCCATCTAGGCCGAAATGCCGCGCCCCCGCCCAAGCTGTGAGAACAGGGAGTAAACTCACATAAGCGTGAAGGGAAAGAATGGACTGTGCAAGGCAGGGTTGCGGTTTCATTATAGACCCTAAACTTCGCAGCAGCCCTGCCCAGCCCCCACCTCCACCCCAGACAGAAAGGAAAGAGAAGAAGGAAGCGTCCCTGCAGGGACCGATGGAATGCACCGGCCTTCAGCGGGCCTTCAGCGCAGAGCACTGACAGCTGTGACAAGCCAGCAGCAGTCTGCCCAGTGGAAATAGCCCCAAGTATGTAACGAAGGCAGCACACCCTGCAGTCTCTCCTCCCTTACCAGCCGATCGTACCCCAGGGCGTGCTTGTCATAGGTTCTGTCCCAGCAGAGAGTGGGGGAACTATTTGGCAAGAGACATTTTCAAAGGGATTCAAGTTCACCCGTAGACATACAGAACCTTAGGGTTGATCTGAGGGAGTTTGAGGGGGACCGGCTGGCAGCTGGATGTAGTGGTGAACAGCTCAGGCTTCAGAACGGGACCTCCGTTGGATACTAGCTGGGACCACCTCTGAGTCTCAGTTTCCCCGTCTGCCAAAGGGAGATGTTAATATCAGCTCTTTCACATGCTGGTTATGAAGACTTGCAGTAAGCCATTAAAAGTGTGTAGTCCCATGTCTGGACCCGGGACACTCGATTCTGGTCTCTGACTCCCACTTTCCAAGTGGCCAGGTGTTTTCTCTGTGCTTCAGAAGACTCCCAGTCCAGTGGGGAATTATGGCCGTTTCCACTTGCCCTGCATTTCCCTGCCATCTGCTGACACCACAAGCCACAGGGCTGCCGCTCCCTGGCCAGGATGGGCTGAGTAATGTCCCTGCTCGGGTTTGTTTCCTCAGTCGACTCCAATGACAGCCTCTACGGGGGAGACTCCAAGTTTCTGGCTGAAAACAACAAGCTGTGTGAGACAGTGATGGCCCAGATCCTGGAGCATCTGAAGGCCCTGGCCAAGGATGAGGTAGGTGCCGCTGCCACCCACCCTGCTGCTCGTGCAAAGCAGGGGACTTCCATGTGAGCCAAGTTCACGCCTGCTCCTGGTGTGCTGCAGGGTGCCTCTCCAGGGCCCCTGGCCAGTGCTGCATCCCTTATCCTGCTGCCCAGACACATCACAGCCCTCATCACGTCCTAGCGCCACTCAGGTGTCTGCCAATGCCTGTGTGAACCAGCCTGCGCTGCCCGTCAAAAATGGGCCATACGCCGAGCTTTTACTGTGCCCCTTCTGTGTCTGCGTCTGTCTAGATCCATAAGTGCCTACCTTGTGCTATGATTGCACACAGTCCTCAGAGCATTACATGCTGGACAGGCTGGCAGCCGAGAGCACTGCGCCCTACCACAGCCCAGGTGGGTAGCCGCCCCCCAGCAGGGGGTGTAGGTGCGCTCTGATGTTCACACAGTGACGAGACCGCCTCACGAGGCCTCTCAGAACATACCTCGGTCATGAAGGTGCCTGATTCCACCCGGCTCACTTCCCTGGTGCCAAACACGGCTTCATTTTTGCAGCTTCAGTGCAAACGTGGGTGACAGATGGGTCCCAGGAGCCTTGCCTCAGATGGGCAGCTGCTTGGCTCTCGGGCACTGTTAAGGCTAGTGGTCCTGCTGTGTGGTCAGAGTGCACCAGGCTGCAGTGCCTTGGGAGTCAGAGCCAGTGCTTGACTCTCCGTGTCCTTCCCGGGGGCGTGCTGGTCCTTTCGCTCCGGCCGTGCTCATCACAGCTCTGGGCTTTCTGCTGAAGCTTGGACAGGCGGACAGCCCAGCTGTTCCTGGTCTCTTCCTGGCAGGCCCTGTCATCTCAGGGTCCTCGTCAGTTCCCTTTCCCAAACTCAAGCTGGATGTCAGTTCCGTTCTCTGTGGCCTTTCAGCCCTCCTCTTCCATCCCGGGCCCTCCACCCCTTCCCATAGCTCCCATCTCATTGAACCCTTTGAAGATTAGATCAAACTGGATTGTAATGCTTTCTCATTTCCAGGACTGTATAAAATACCACCGCTGCCCTCAGCCCCTTCCCCAACCCACCAAAAAACCATAAACGTATTGCATGGCTGTGAGTGTACATGGGTCTCCCTTTTCCTGGGGTAGTCAAGCCATTGCTGGAGAGTGGGATTTTTTTTCTCGACTCCATTCCCTGGTGGCCTCTGCCAAGGCCCGGGGCACTGCCCAAAGGGCCAGCCTTAGGGGTAGCAGTCCACAGGGCAGAGGGAAAGTGCAGAACCACTGTTCCTGGGGCCCTGAGGACCTCACAGCACCCTCTCTCCAGGGAGGAAGGCTATGTGGGTGTGTCCCACTGACCCTGGGGACACTCACTGCACGGAGGGCGCTGGGCTGTCAGTGGGAGTGGCAGCATCAGAACCCCAGTTTCTTTAGGACTGCTTCTCAAACACTGAGCATTAGAAGAGACATCCTCTCCCCAGCTGAAAGACACATGCAAACTTTGTGTAAGGGTTAGAGACCCAGCTCCTCTTTGTCTGCACAGGTGGTTTTCAGAAGAGCCCTTCTACTTACAGGAGAAATGGCGTGTCCTTGGCCTTCTGCCTGCACCTGCTATACTAATAGGTTCCTGTCTGCTCCCCCTGCCATGGAATATTCTTAGTGCTATTCCCTAAGTCTTAAACCATCGGCTGTGGCTGCAGCCTCCAGCCGGGGCCTCGTAGAGCAGGGCTGTGTGCTCGGCACTTGAGGGTGCTGCCCCGTGGCTTGAACACACTTTTCACTGGTGTAGCTGGATCCAGTCGGAGGCAGCACAGACAGCCTAAGCGACCATAGCCTGGGACCCGCAAGCTCACAGGACAAAGCCCAGAACCCTGTAATTTGGAACTATTTTCATGTAACACTGGGCTCTTTCTCTTGAGGGAGGGGGCATTGACAGTGGTAGACTCTGGAACAGAATTCTAAAAAAATAGCAAAGCTGGAATGTTTCCGAAGACCATTTGGACTCAGATGCCAGAGGTGTGCACAGAAATGCCTGTCCACGTGTGCACGCTTAGTAGGAAACAGGAGTGCGCCAGGCTGCCTAGAACACGCCACCCTTCACTGAACAGCATGTCACTCCCAGGCGACAGCGAGTCAAGGGCCTCAGGTGGATCCTCGGGATCTGGTGCCCAGGAGCGCCGGGCAGGTTTCTGTCCACTCAGGGAAGCTCCACGCTTTGGAAAGCCCAGTGCTGATGCTGGTCCTGTGTCTCTTCTTTGAGTGTTGGTCCCAGCCCTGCTTCCAGAACTGCCCTCTGGAGCCACGTAAAGGGCCTGGCCCTGTCTTGACGCCAAGCTCTGTGAAGTTGTTCGCTTGGGGTGGTGAAGCCAGTAACCACGCCAGAACCTCAGAGCTCCCTGGAAATGCCAGTCCTCAGAGGAAGAGAATGGAAAGCGGCTCTTTTCTATGTAAGCTCTGTGGACAGGGCTCGTACCCTGCGTGGCGTGGCCCTCACTGTGATCGGAATTCGGGTCTTTGCGCACTGGCTGGCGCGCCTTCCTCAGACCCGCCTCTGATGATTTCATTTTTAAAGGGCTGTACATTAAGATGCATGAATTGTGCTTTCTAGGGCAGAGTGCTTATTGAGAAAATACAGACTGGAGAAGTGGTTGAGAGACTGTCTTCCTTGTTTGAATTTTTTTTTTATCCTCTCACCCAAGGACATTTCGTTTTTTGTTTAGATAGAGTGGGAGGGGGAGAGAAAGAAACATCGACTTGAAAGGGACACATCAAGTGGCCGCCACCCACATGACCCAACCAGGATCAGGGACAAACTGCAACCGAGGCTCATGCCCCCAGTGGGAACCAAACCCGGGTCTCTCTGGACCGCAGGCCCACGCTCCAACCACTGAGCCAAACTGGCCAGGGCCCTTGTTTGACTTTTTAAAAATCTTTCCCACTTCAGTGCAATGTAGATGAAAGGCTTCTCTCAGGGGGAGACTCTTCCCTTAGATTTGAAATAGAATTTTTTTCTATTTCAAATCTAAGGAAAGTCTCCTAGATCGAAGCAGAAAATGAGAAAATGGGGCCTTCATGGTCTCCAGGTGGCAGACAGTGGCCACTTTACAAGGTGAGCAGGATGGGCTAGAACCTACCTGATCTGTGCCCAGGTTCCAAACTGGGGCAGAACTGCACTGTCTGATTAAACATGGGGCCCAGCATCCGGCTGGTGTGGCTCAGTGGTTGAGCGTTGACCCTGCACCAAGAGGTCGCTGGTTCGATTCCCGGTCAGGGCACATGCCCAGGTTATGGGCCTGATCCCCAGTGGGGGGCATGCAGGAGGCAGCCCGTCCATGTTTCTCTCTGTCCCTTTCCCTTTCTCTCAAATCAATAAAGAAAAAAAAAAATTTTTTTAAATAAAAAAAAATAAACATGGGGCCCAGAGCAGGCTATTGCCAGTTAGTCCATGAGTCTGTGCCAGGTAGGTTCCTGCAAGCTATCAGCAGTTCAGCTGCTGCTGTGACTCACCTGGTCCAGGCCACTGCCAAGGCAGGCTCAGTTTGGGGGAGAGAGGCTGGGGGAGGTGCTGTGTCTCTTCATGGTCACAGCCCCCCCTCATCCAACTGTGACAGAAGCTGCTTACTGTGTTTTCTCCACCAAAAGACTTTATTTTATATATATATATATATATATTTTTTTTTTTTTCCAATTAGAATTGACATACAGTATTAGTTTCAGGTGTACAATGTAATGTTTAGACATTTATATAATTTACAAAGTGATCACCCCTAGTGGTAAGTCTGATACCAACCTGACACCATATGGTTATTACAGTACTATTATTGACTATATTCCCTGTGCTCTACTTTACATCCCACGACTATTTTGTAACTTCCAATTTGTACTTTTTAGTCCCTTCACCTTTTTCACCTATTCCCGCTCTCATCTGTTGTTCTCTGTATCTTTTCTTTTTTTAATTGATTTCAGAGAGGAAGGGGAGAAGAGAGAGAAACATTGATGAGAAAGAACATTGATTGACTGCCTCCTGCATGCCCCCCAACAAGGGATTTGGCCCACAACCTGGGCATGTGCCCTGACCGGGAATCTAACTGGCGACCTCTTGGTGTATGAACCACTGAGTGACACTGGCCGGGCTGTCTTTTTTTTTTTTAATACAAGTATTTTTTAACTGGTATTTTGAGAGAGGGAGGGGATAGAGACAAAGAAACATACATGTGAAAGAGAAACATCAATCGGTTGTCTCTTGTACATGCCCCAATTGGGAATTGAACCCTCAACCTGAGTATGTGCCTTGACAGGGAATTACGAATCAAACCCTTTTGGTATATGGGACAACACTCCAACCAACTGAGCCACATCAGCCAGGGCTCTGTATTTTAGTCTTTTTCTGTTTCATTTGTTCATTTGTTTTTTTAGATTCCACATGTAAGTGAAATCATATGGTATTTCTTTCTCTACCTTATTTCACTCAGCATAATACCCTTGAGGTCCATCTGTGTTGTTGCAAGTGGTAACATTTCATTCTTTTTATGGCCAAGTCACATTCCACTTTTTATATGCACCACCTCTTCTTTATTCACTGTGTATTGATGGGTTGCTTCTATGTTTGGCTCTTGTGAATAATGCTGCAATGAACACAGGGGTAAATATAGCTTTTTGAATTAGTGTTTTGTATTTCTTTGGATCAATACCCAGAAGTGGGATTGCTGCATCATTGGTCTCTTAATTTTCTGAGGAGCCTCCATGCTGTTTTCCATAGTGCCTACACCAATTTGCAATTCCACCAACAGTGTACAAGGGTTCCCCTTTTTTTATTCTTTTTTTTTTATCCTCACCCGAGGACATTTTTCAATATTTTGTTCAGATAGAGTGGGAGAGAGAGAGAGAAAGAAACATCGACGTGAAAGGGACACATCGAGTGGTTGCCACCCGCACGACCCAACCAGGGCCGGGGACAAACTGCAACCGAGGTACGTGCCCTTAGCGGGAACTGAACCCAGGTCTCTCTGGACTGCAGGCCGACACTCTTAACTGCTGAGGCAAACCGGCCAGGGCAAGGGTTCCCTTTTTCCACATCCTCACCAACACTAGTTTGTTGATTTATTGATGATTGATAGCCACAGTGACAGGTGTGAGGTGCTACCTCATTGTAGTTTTAATTTGCATTTCTCTGATGAGATGATGTTGGGCATCTTTTCATGTCTATTGGCCACTTCAGTGTCCTCTAGAGAAATGTCAATTCAACTCCTCTACCCACATTTTAATGGATTGTTTGGGTGTTTTGGTGTTAAATTGTATGAATTCTTTATAAATTTTGGATATTAACCAGTTATTGGATGTCATTGGAGAATATCTTCTTCCATGCAGTAGGCTTTTTGTGTGTGTGTGTGTGTGTGTGTGTGTGTGTTTTATGGTTTCCTTTGCTATGTAAAAACTTTAGTAGTCCCATTTGTTAATTTTTTTTGTTTCCCTTGCCTAAAGAGACAAATCCATAAAAAAAAAATATTACTAAGAGTAACGTCAAAGTTTACTGCCTGTGTATGGTTTCTTTTAAGAGTTTTATGGGTTCAGGTCTTATATATTTGTCTTTAATCCACTTTGAGCTTATTCTTGTATATGGTGTAAAAGTGGTCTCTCTTTTCTGTATGTATCTGTCCATTTTCCCAACACCATTTAATGAAGACAGTCTTTACTGCATTGTATGTTCTTATGTCCTTTGTCTTATATTAATTGACCATAAGGTGTGGGTTTATTTCTGGGCTCTCTCTTCTGTCCCATTGATCTGTGTGTTTTCATGCCAATACCATGCTGTTTTGATTTTAGGTAGTGTGATTCCTCCATGTGCTTCTTTCTCAAGATTGCTGTGGTTATTTGGGGTCTTTTGAGGTCCCATATAAATTTTAGGATTATATGTTCTAGTATTGTGAAAAATGCCAGATATTTTGTTAGGGATTGCTTTGACTCTAGATTGCTTTGGGTAGTATGGCCATTTTATTTTTTTATTCCTCACTTGAGAACATATTTTGCATTTATCTTCAGATGGAGCAGGAGGGAGAGAGAGAGAAACATCGACATGAGAGACATGTGGACTGGCTGCCACCCACACAACCCCAACTGGGGGCCAGGGACAAACTGCAACTGAGGTACATGCCCTTAGCAGGAACCGAACCCGGGACTCTGGTCCACGAGCCGATGCTCTAACTGCTGAGCCAAACCAGCCAGGGCATGTATGGCCATTTTAATGATGTTAATTCTTCCTGTCCATGAGCATGGTATATCCTTCCATTTATTTGTGTCTTCAGTTTCTTTCTTCTGTGTCTTAGTTTTCTTAGTACATGTGCTCCACTTCTGTGGCTAAATTTATCCATAGTTATTCTTTTTGATGCAAATTTTGTGTCTTGTTTCTTTACCGAATTCATATGTCAGCTTTAATAGTTTTTTGGTGGGATGTTTAGGGTTCTCTCTATATAATCACGTCATCTGCAAAGAACAGTTTTATTTCTTCTTTTCCAAAGCCAAAGGACTTTACACACATCATCTCATTCAGTCCCCACTTACCCTCTGGGCTGGCATCACAGTGCTCTCCTACAGGTGGAGAGGCTGGGACTTGGGAGGTTAAGCAGTTTGCCCTCCTGAAGGTCCGTGGCAGACCTGGCCTTTGAACCCAGGCCAGCATCACCACTGGTCCTGGCCCAAGCCCCCATGCCACACTGTCACCTCTTTTTTCTGTTTCAGGCCCTGAAGCGCCAGAGTTCGTTGGGTTTGTCCTTCTTTAACAGCATCTTGGCCCATGGGGACCTGCGCAACAACAGGCTCAACCAGCTCTCCGTCCACCTGTGGCACCTGGCCCAGAGGCACGGCTCTGCAGACACCAGGACCATGGTGAGACCCTCAGAGGGCCCCTGCCACGCCCCTGAAACACAGGGTGTGGCGAGCTACACAGTCCTACTGGCCACAGCACAACTGGTTGCACACAGCATTGGGGCCTGGAAATCAAACAGCCCTTCTTTCCCACTTCTAGAAGAGAGCCTGGCCCAAGATTTCCTGCGGTCATCTCCTTGCTCTGCAAACTATAACAGTATTAGTGTATTCCCTCTGAAAAACTACATGGTAAAAAATCAGTCATTCCTGTTCACATCCAAATTTGATTCTAAGGGCAGTTGGCAATCTAAGATGCTTCATTTAAAGATTTGGCTTGTTTCCTCCCCTCCCTTGTCCTCCGAGACTGCCAGTTCTCTACTGAGGAAAAGCAGAGAGGCACAGTAGGGCCGACTTGCCGCTGCCTCAGCTCCAAAGATGGAGAATAATGAACCAGAGGGAATGATGAGTCCTCCTTTCTTCTCTTAGGTAAAAACTCTGGAATACATCAAGAAGCGAAGCAAACAACCAGACATGGCTCACTTGACCGAGCTGGCCCTCAGGCTTCCTTTGCAGACAAGGACCTGACTCGAGTCCCATCTCCAAGGCCTACACCCTCGGGCTTCGGTGCCATATCCGGAAAAGACCTGCTTTTTATTTTATTTTTACAGCTTTGGCCTTTACCAAGATTATTCTGACCCTGAAGTGGAATCGTAAGAGCATTAAAATCTAACCTTGTTCACTGAGCGGCAAAATAATTAGCTGCTTTCCAGTGGTGTCTTTTTTTAATTGGAAAATAATAACCTTAAAAGAACCACTGTTTTCCTCTCCATATTTTGCGTCTGGAATTAAATGTTGTCTAAACCACCTTGCAGGATTCATAAAAGGCAGGCTCAATTAATTTCTTTTTCTATCAAAATGAATTGGACTTCGAACATATTCTGTGAGTAAACCTCCTGAAGAAATATTTATGTTCATGGCTGTTTGTTTAATTACTTCTGATTCTCTTCATCCAGAGAATGTGTCTAAACATATTGTGTGGTTTGCTTTGCAGCCATCATTCCAAAAAGCATGTGGTTCTGTCTACTTTTTACCACCAGTTTCGTGGGACTTATCTTATATTCCCACTGACATTTTATTTTGAATCAGTGAACATATTAATATTGATTGCTGACGAGAATGCAACCAAATTGTACATTAAAAGTACCTCAAACTATTGTGTTTTGGAAGGTATGCCCTGGACATAATTAAGTTTGTCTCTACCCCATGAAATACATGATTACAGTTCACACGGCTTATCTTAGTAAAAGTAGTTAAGATAATTTAAAACTAAATTTATATAAACTAATGTTTTCACTAAACAGTCTACTACCAACTGATCAACTTAATAGTGACATCCCTCCACTCCAAGGAATTGGGTTGAGAAAACGGCCCCCACTGGAGAACAGACCATGAAGAATGGCACTCAATGGACCGCACATATAGAAATTCACACAGGTGATATCACCCAGACACCCCAAATAGCTGTTATTTCACAAAATTATTTCCAATACCACTTTTACTATATGATAGTATTTAAATGAAAAAACCCACAAATTCACAAAAGTTTCCTTCTGTTTTGAGGCTGCTCACAGACAGCATTAGTCCCCAAGCTGGGGTCGGCAGGTTCGTGTTGCTCTTCCATCATCAGCCGGTCATGTGCACATATACCAAGTCCCTTGCCTGGCCAGGCAGAGGCTAAAACACCCAAGAATTTTGGTAAATAAGGTAAAAATGAAAAAAGGTGTGCATGAGACCTGTATTTTTTTTTTTAAATCACTCCTCTAATAAATTACCATAAGCTTAGTGATTTAAAACACAATTTTATCCCCTTGCAGTTCTACTGGCCGGAAGTCCAATTGGTCTCAATGGGCTTACCTTCAAAATGAAGGTGTTGGCAGGGGTGGTTCCTTTGGGTGGCTCCAGGTGGGAATTGCCTCCTTGCCCTCTGCAGCTTCTGCGGGCTGCCTGCATTCCTTGTCTTGTGGTCCTTCCCTCCTCAATTCAAAACCAGTGACCGCTGTGGAGGCTTCTTAGTCTCTTCTACACTCCACTCCTTTCCTGTATTAAAGGACCCTTGGATAGCCCTCGCTGTTTCGGCTCAGTGGATAGAGCGAAATCCTGTGGTCTGGAGAGACCCAGGTTTGGTTCCCGCTAAGGGTGTGTACCTGGGTTGCAGTTTGTCCCCGGCCCTGGTTGGGTCGGGCGGGTGGTAGCCACTCGATGTGTCCCTTTCACGTTGATGCGTTGATGTTTCTCTCTCTCTCTCTCTCTCTCTCTCTCTCTCTCTCTCCCTCCCGCTCTATCTGAACAAAAACTGGAAAAATGTCCTCGGGTGAGGATTAAAAAAAAAAAGAACCCTTGGATTTACTGGGCCCATCTGGATAATCCAGGATGATCTTAAGGTCAGCTGATTAGCAACCTTAACTCTCTATCTTAAGCTCCCTTTTGATTTGTACCCTAACATATTCACAGGTGCTGGTAATTAGGACATGGACATCTTTGGGGGTCGGGGCATTCTGCCACCTGCAAACCTGACAGAGCTGAAACACAGTCTCTTTAGGAGAGAACTGTGTCTATTTGGGAAATACTTTTGATGGTCCAGGTTGGTTTGTAGAAAGGTGGCCTCAGGGCAGGGCCCAGTGGACTAAGGCAGAAACAGCAGGACCAAGGATAAAGTGCCTCAAAATCCTGATGTCTGGGAACAGCTGGATGAAAGCAATTGCAAGGAGGGAAGGGCCTTGCCACAGGAAGGTCAGTCAGTGAGAGCCCCCCAAGGGAAACCAGCCAACAGCTGTGAGAAAAGGGCTATTAAATATTCAACTGAGACTTTGGCCATGCTAGACCTCCCCTGCCCCTCCCCCCAAATCCTGGGTAAAATCCAAAATGACCTTGTTCCCATGGAGACAGGCTGTGTCTGCTCAGAGTCAAGACATGAAGAGCAACATGAAAATCAACTAAAAGACTTGAAGTTTGAGGAGGGTGCTGAGCAAGAGGGGCAGGGGCAGCTAAAGCCAATGTGGTTTAATTTACAAAGGACAGATGCCCAGCTAACACCAGGTCAGTTAAGTTCCCCAAGACTGCAGACTACCACAGGACAGGAACCTGCTCGTGAACAATGGCAGTCTGCAGACAAGGACAGGTCCAGTCGGGACACTGGGAAACCCTGCTGTCGGCTGCCCAACCTCTCTGCCAGACCGCTTTAGGGATACCGCAGTAAGCCTTCCCCTGTGCACATGGACCTCCACCCAACATTGACAGAGTTCAGAAGTCAGCCCTGTTAGACTATCACACGAACCAGCAGGAGGGAAAGGCCTGGCATCACACCCTAATAAGAGTTCTCGCTGTGGGGACAGGACAGTGGACAATCCATACCCTTTCCAGACTCACCAAGTGATGGCTGACCACAGTGCTCCCTCGTGAGCCGAGGCAGCCCCAAAGCAGTGTGCTCTCTGGGCAAGGCAAGAACAGTCAAAGCAGTCAGTGGTTCCCTTTTACAGAAAACAGTCCTACAGTGTTGGTCAAGGCTGGGAGACTTAGTCCCGTCGAAGGAGGGGGTGCCCTGAAGGAGCTAACTCCAAAGCAGAACCTAACATTCTAGGCGTTTGTATCGTTTGAATCCAGGAAAGGCCAAATGCATGTCCTGAGGGAAGTAGCCACCCAAGTCATTGCTGGTGCAGATCTGCAGGACTCCTGACCTGGCCCACGTTTGCAGGTCAGGACCCAGGCAGGCCTGCCTCACCTCTGCCCACGTTAATCTTGCCAGCATCCGCTCTTCACGCCTCCCTGCTGACTGGCCCAAGGAGAATCTACCTCATATGTCAGGGGCTGGCTCAGAGCCACAGGGTTTTCCTTCTTCCTCTGGGATATTTTAGTGTCTCAATAAGCTGCCTGGATTGCTATGGCCATCTTGCCACTAGCCTGAGAAACCAGTGATGGTGGGACAAAGAGGAAAGAATGTCCTTGATGAGCTGCTGGACCAACCTTCCATCAGGACTCCTGCCTCCTGAGACTGACTCTCTGGCTGTTCAGGCCTGAGATGGGATATACGCAGGAGGCCTTCAGGCCAAGTGATGTGGAAATGTCCAATCAGAACCTGTATTTTGGGAAGCGAAATGCTACCTGGATGGAGAGGAGGTGGCCGTGTGTCTCAGGTCATTGTACCAAGAACTCTGAGGCTGGACGCAGTGTTCAAGCTTGGGCACACTGTCCCCACGATGATGAGGCAACTTCCAGTGTCATCCCACATCTGTGCCTCCTAGCATCCGACCTCCGCCCAGAAGTCACCTGGGATTCCTTCCTCATGATGGCAGAGCCTAATAAACACATCCCTGGAAATTTGCTGCAGGTTCCTATGGAGGACTAAGCTCTCAAAGATGCCTTGTTCAGAATCCAGTTAAAGCAAAAATAGTAAATCCAGGCTTAGCACTGGGGTTAGAAGGCAGGCGCTGGAAAAGTTAAGGCTGGTTTAGAAACACTTCCCACAACAGGAAGCTCAGCCACACCTGTGTGTTGGCAACTCGAATACTCACTTGCCGCAGCTACTCCGATTAAAGGAAAATGAGCTTATTTGTGTTTATCACTAACTCCACTTCCTGCTTGGGACTGAGACATATAATGGACTTCTCTTCCTTCCATTAGAAGACCTTTAGCCCCAGTGAGGACTCTGGGAGGAGTTCCAAGAGGGGAGCCTTCAGAGCAGTGACTATTGGGGCTTGAGGCATGAAAGCACACCACCTGGTCGGCACTTCCTGGTGGGTGGCCCTGGGCAACGGCATCACTTCATCCCTGAACGCCAGTTTCCTCACCTATCAGATGGGGATGATAACATCACGTTTCACAGTCAAGAAAATTAAGTACATTAATGCAGGTAAAACACATCAGTATGTGTCCAGCACGTACTAAGCATTCCACACGTGAGCTGTTGTTACTGACACTCGGGATGTCCCCAAACAAGGCTGGAGGGCTGCACACGGAAATCTGGTTTCCAGCCCCTCACACATTCTCCTGACTCCAGAAACGTGCTGCCCCCACCCCACAGCGTCCAGCACATCCACAGAGAACTCCTTTATCTGTGGGAGTTCAATTTGAGGCAACTGTCAGAGGCTTTCATCTGAGTAATTGAAAAATAAAAGCAACTTTGACTCGACACAAGACAGTAGAGTTTAATCTTCAAACTTGACTGACTTGGAAGCGTTCCTGTCGATGTAAAAGGCTTTGCGTGGGGCAGTGGGGAAGCCGAGGCCAGCGCCCCAGCTGTATTTCCAGCGCAGGGCCCGGTCGTAGTCCTGTTGCAGGCTCCGCTGCAGGGCGTCGGCTGCCTTCTTGTTCAGCGCCATGCTCGGCCTTCCCACCATGTCAGGGGTGCGACTCAATGAAGGGGACAGATTTTTAAAGCCACCCATAAGTTTGAGAAATTTCAGTTTCTGTTCCTCGTTTTCAAAACCAGCAGTGTCCCACTGGCCAAACTGAGTCCCCTGTGGTAAAAGAAAAAAGGTGTTATCTTCCTCATTTCCAAACCCTTTCCTCCCTCCAAACCCAGCCTCATCTGGAGGATCCCGCTGATGCAGGGCACGCTGTGTGCCAGGCACGGTGCTCATGGACAGCAGTCCTGCAGCCCTGCACTCCGGTGAGCCGTGAGGGATGCTGGTACTCCTCCATCTCACTGACAGGGAAACGAAGGTTTGCAGCCCAACTAGGACACACGCCCAATCGGGGAGCCTGCTAGAATCCCTTCCAGAGTCAGGCCAGCACCAGAGAGCACATGCGCCATGCTGCATGCCTGCTCTACTCCCCCCTCCCCCCACCCAGCTCCTGGCACACCGCATGGCACAGCTTACAAAGGCACATCGCCTCACCTCACCTGCTGGCCACTCACCTGTCAGCCCACAGTCACTGTCAGTCAGAAAGGGGAGGAGGGCACGTGACAATGTGAAATGCATTCCCCTCCCAGAAGCACCACCTTTTAGAGCAGGAAGGCCATGGAGGCTCAGAGAAGTGAAGGGCCACGCAGCCAAACCAGAAGCTGAGCCAGACCAGGAGCTTGGGATTCCCATCTCCTGCCCGGAGCACCCCACCGCCCGTACACAAATCACCCACGTTCAAGAAAATGCAAGTGAGCCCCTCAGAGCAGTGACCTAAGACAAGACCCCTTTCACTCCCAAGTCAGAGGCAAGAAACAGCTGCCCAAGAAGATGATGACTGAAGTCCTGCGGACCAGGACCAAAGAAGGAACTTAACTCAGGACAAGTTCTGACGTGGAGGGAGCCAGCTGGCAGGTTGGGGCAGTCTCTGGACTGTGCCAACTTAGTCTGCTGTTACTTGGTTCCTCATGCTGCTGGAAGAGGCGGGGGCTCAGGACACTGACCACACTACCTCAAAGGGCTATGACATCAAACTTACTGTCCACTTCCAGGTTTCGGAAGCTTCCGTTTTGCCTGATTCACGATCAATCTCTTCTTGCAAGGCCTTCCGCCTCATCTGAGCAAGAGGAAAGAAAAAAAGAAATGAGACGCAGAAGTTCTCTGAGCTTAACAGCCTGAATAAAGAAGGGGCAGAGGGATTGGAGGGTGCCAGGAAAGAGCAGCTTTACCCTGCTGCAGTCTGGGGGATGCACTGGTCTTACATAACCTCCAAGCAGCTTGAGGACTGCAATCCTTTGGCCTAAAAAGCGGGCAGGCCTCATTTACCCTTGCCTAGCCACTCCTTAAAAATGCATGTCCAAGAGGCAGGTTGGTGGCACAGGAGGACACTGGGCTTCCGAAGGACACAAAGAATGCACGCCTGGACTCAGTGATTCCTCCTGAGAAACCACTGAGGGCCAGTCGAACAGCTTTTGCACAACAATCACAACAATCAAGAGAAGGACCTCATATGTCTTGGCCGGTTTGGCTCAGCGGTTAGAGCATTAGCCCGTGGAGTCTCGGGTTCAGTTCCCACTAAGGGCACGTACCTCGGTTATGGTTTATCCCCCACCCTGGTTGGGGTCATGTGGGTGGAAACCAGTCAATGTGTGTCTCTCTCTCTTCCTTCCTCTCTCCCTCCCACTCTATCTGAAGATAGATGCAAAAATGTCCTTGGGTGAGGATAAAAAAAGAGAGGACCTCACAAAGAATTCTAGGAACCCTGAGAGCTCTCTGGGAGCTGAGGCACTCTTCAGAGCAGGAGAATGGCAAGTGCCACTGTTCATGTTTCCCCTGCACTTGTATAGTGGGCAGGGGCTCTATCCAGGGTCTCTGGTTCACCTGCGGGGCAACCACAGTGCAAACCCAGCCACTCCACCTGAACTTGCTCCAGCAGGAATAGGACGCCACAGTGTGCACACCAGGGCCCCCAGCACTTGGAGAGTGATCCAGCGGGCATATCAGGGTGTTGTTGCCACATGCACCCACTGGGTGGCCTGTGCAAGCAGAGCTCCCCTACCTGGACAGAGTGTAGAACTAGCAGGGTGCTGCCACGTGCACACCCAGAGCAGGCCCAACCAGACTCAGCTCATGCAACAGACAACTAAAGTAACAGGGAGTGCCATATGCACACTGGGCGTGCCCACCCAGGTCAGAAGGGCAAAGAAGCGGGCAAACACCAGGATACCGCACCAGAATACAAGCTCCCAGAGTCTACACAGAAGCCACTTTTTAAAAAAGTATGTTTTTATTGATTTTTAGAGAGAGAAACATTGATGTGAGAGATAAACATCGATCGGCTGCCTCCTGCATGTCCCCTCCCCTACTGGAGATTGAGTCCACAACCCAGGCATATGCCCTGACCAGGAATCAAACTTGACACCTTCTGGTGCTTGGGATGATGCCCAACCAACTGAGCCACACCAGCCAGGGCCAGAGGCCACTTTTTCAAGATTGGGAGAGAGAGCTATTTCATTAAATTCATAGGAATAAATACAGAAAGTCAAAGAAAATGGGGAGACAAAAGAATATTCCTCAAATGAAGGAATGAGAAAAGCTCTAATGAAATGGAGATAATTTGCCTGATAAAGAATTCAAATGGTCATAAGAATACTCAAAAAATTTGACAGTAGAACAGAGGACCTCAAAGAACACTTCAACATACACACTAGAAAAGCAGTCAGAGATGAAGAATACAGTAACTGAAATGAATAATACACGAGAGGAAACTGATAGCAGATTAGTTAATATGGAAGAACAAATTAGTGACCTGGAAGACAGAACAGTGGCAATTAATCAGAACAGCAAAATGAAAAAAGAATTTTAATATACCCTGGCCAGGTAGCTGTTTGTTAGAGTACTGTCCCGATACACAAAGGCTGTGGTTCAATTCCTGGTCAGGGCACATAAAAGAAGCAACCAATGAATGCAGAAATAAGTGGAAAACAAATAGATTTTTCTCTTTCTCTCCCCCCTAACCCCCACACTTCCTCTCTCTGAAAATCAATTTAAAAAGTTTTACAAAAGAAAATAGAATTTAAAAAATGAGAACAGCATAAGAGCCTTCTGGGAAAACATCAAGCCCTCCAACATTCACATCATAGGGATTACAGAGGGAGACGAGAGAGAAAGGGGCCAGAAAATATATTGGAAGAAATAATGGCTGAAAATTTTCCTAATCTAGGGACGGAAAGCGACACCTAGAACCACGAAGCAGAGTTCCAAACAAGATGAACCCAAAGAGGACCACACCAAGATATCATGTAATTAAAATGGCAAAAGTTAAGGACAAACAACTTTGGAGGGAGCAAAAAGGAAACCAGCAGTCACATAAAAGTAAAAACCAAAAAAGGCTATCAGCTGATTTCCCAGCAGCAGCTTTATAGGCTACACGGGACTAACAGAAAATAGTCTACAACCTTGAAAACTATGCCAGCAGGGTTACCATTCAGAAATGAAATAGAGATAAAGAGTTTTTCCCAGACAAGAAAAAGATCTTACTGGTTAAGGCAAATATAAACAGAATGAGCCAACCACTTAAAAAGTGAACGTGAAAGTTAAAAGACAAAAGCAATAAAATTAACTACAATAGTGAGGGATACAGAAAATGTAAAGATAATGAAACATGTCAAAAACAAAGACTGGAAGTTAGAATGTGTTTGCACTTAAAAACCTATCAGTTTAAAATGACTGCTATAACATCCGCATCACAGGTGTGCCAGAATAAGAAAATGACCAAGGGTTAGAGAATATATTGGAAGAAATAGCGGCAGAAAACTTCCCTAGCTTGGTGAAGGAAAAAGGCATACAAGTCAAGGAAGCACAGACCTAAGTAAGAAGAACCCAAAGAGGAAGAAAAACAAAAATAATAATGATAAATTAAATGACTGCTATAACTAGAGATGAAAATATATACATATGAACCTCATGGTAACCACAAACCAAAAACCTACAAAAAATACTGAAAAAAGGAGAAAGGAACCCAAATAAAACACGGAAGTAAACCAGCAAATCAAAGGAGATCAAGAGAAGAAAAACAAAGAGAACAAAACAACCCAAAAGTAATTAACAAAACGGCACTAAGACATACCTATCAATAATTACTTAAGTGTAAACAGACTAAATGCTCCAATCAAAAGCCATAAGGTGGCAAAATGGGTAAAAAACAGAACCCTTACATATGCTGTCTGCAAAAGACTCATTTTAGACTGACACAGAGACTGAGAGTGAAAGAATGGGAAAGATCCGTGCAAGTAGAAATAAAAAGAAAGCTGGGGCAGCAATACTTGTATCAGACAAAACAGACTTTAAAACAAAGAATGTAAAAAAAAAATTAGGCCCTGGCTGGGTTGCTCAGTTGGTGGTGCATCTTCTGGTGCACCAAAAGGCTGCAAGTTCCATTCCTGGTCAGAGAACACACCTAAGTTGTAGGACTGATCCCCAGTCAGGGCACGTATAGGTGGCAGCCGATCTTGATCTCTCTCTCTCCCTCTAGAATATCATTAGAAACATATCCTCAGGTGAGGATTAAAAATAATAAAAAATAAAGGGGTCAATCCAAGAAGAAGATATGATAATTGTAAATATCTAGGCACCAACATAGGAATACCTAAGTATATGATGCAAACATTAATGAAAACAAAGGCAGAATTAACAGCAATACTGTTACAGTTGGGGACTTTAATACCCACACTTAACCTCAATGGATGAATCATGCAGGTGGAAACATAATAAAGAAATAATGGCTTTAAATGCTACATTAGACCAGATCAACTTAATAGACATTTATAGAACATTTTGTCCCAAAAGAGCAGATTACACTTTTTCTCAAGTGGACCTGGAACATCTTCCAGGACAGAGTACATGTTAGGCCACAGGACAAGTCTTAATAAATTCAAGAAGACAAATTATATCAAGCATATTTTCACTCCACAATGGCATAAAACTAGAAATCAAATATTGGAAGCAAAGTAAAATAAACCCACAAATATGTGGAGGTTAAAGAGCATGCTACCAACCAATGGATCAAAGAGGAAATCGTAAACTTCCTAGAGACAAATGAAAATGAAAACAACTTTCAAAATGTATGAGCTGCAACGAAAGCAGTTCAAACGAGGAAGGTAACCGCTGTGTAGGCCGACCAAGAGAACCAGCTCAGGGCCCATGTCTGTCCTCTGCACAGCTGCCTCGCTACTCAGTTACTCTGACAAGCTGTGTGACCGTGACCGTAACCTGCAGGAGGCTGGGGAGCTCCCATTTCTCGAGGCCTGTGCTTCATGTCAGTGTCATCTCACTGATGCTCTTGGCCCCACTAAGACGACCCCTCCTCCAGGGCCCCAAGGACATCCATGATATTCGATACCTCGGAGGCATGTGTTGGCCCTCCTCACACTGGGCTCACTTGTAAGGATGTGTTCATTTCATTCTCTCCTGGAGAAGTGCCGTGAGACTGCACCCTCCATGTCACACCCTCCTGCTCCTCTCAGCAGCTACTTGCTGACACGGCACAAGAAGGCCACCGGGAGGCTGCCCCCATTCCAGAAAGTCCAGCTCCCACATAGGATGCACTTACCATGGGAGCTGGGCTCGACAGAAAGAAGCTCGTCCACAACAGAACCACTTCTCCAAATGCCTGACCTGAAGCCAGGGGCTGGTAACGTGTGGGCCTGGCTGAGCATGTGTTTCCTGCCCTGGTCTTAGGTCTCAGGGACCTGTCCCCTTCTCCACCTCCAGTCATTACAGAAAGGAGAGCCTCAGCCCAAGGTTCTGAGTAACTCGATGGCCCCAGTCATGCCGTGGTGGTGAAGGGGTCTCCCACCATGAAATGGGGAAGGCCACAGAGTTCCATGCCATGGGAGGTATGCCACAGAAGCTGGCCTGGTAGCCTCTGAAGTTGTGGGCGCTTCAGAGACCAGGTGCTTGTGGCCTGATAGGAGAGTGGCAAGATACAGGGGAAGGGGATGAGGACTGGGGCCATACCTGGTCGATGTGTGTCTCGTCCATGTTGCCTTTCTTTTCCAACACCACCTCCAAGTCTGTGTCGGGCTCCTGCGCAGGACAGCAAAGGGAGTAAGAATCAAGCATACGCTGGCCTCTGCCCCAGCAGCCCTGTGGGGTAAGATCGTGACAGAGTCCAGAAAAGATCCAAGATCCTGGCACCATGCCCAACCCCGTCACCTACAGAACGTCTGCCATCCTTTCTCTTCCATAATTCTCCCCTCAAAACCGTGGCACTGACCTACTTAACAGATGAAGAAACCAAGGCTCAGAGAGGTGAAATGACTAGCATGAGGTCACCCCCACAGCTCAGGGGCAGGGCTGACACTAATCCAGGTCTCCTGACACAGGCTACGCACATGACCTTTCCTGACACAAGTCACCTGACCTCCCAGGGTGACACCAAACCAGCCTAGGGCCCCATTTACAGTGGCCAGATAACAAGAGCTGGGAATTGCAGAGGTGGGCTCAGAGCCCCAATGGGTATGGGAGTGGGGCTGCCAGCAAACAAAAACCTACCAATTCTCTCCTCCACACTGCCCACCCCACACCCCTAGGTCCTGGCTGCTGCCTTCTCTCCTGCCTGGAAAACCATGAATCTCTACCTCCTGATTCCCCACCCCCAAGCCTTGGTCCATTCCACGAGCAGCTCAGGTGAGCTTTAAAAATTCAATCAGAATATGTTGTATACCTTAAACAAACACAATTTTATGTCAAGTATATCTAAAAAAGAAACACTCACATATCATGTCCCCCAACTCCCTAAAACACTCCCAGGGCTCCAGTCTTATCTTCACAAAACCCAGACTTCTGTGGCCTGTGTGGTCATGTCACCGGGCCCTGCTCACCCAAATCCCACCACCCCAGCCTGTGCTCCTCCCAGGGCTTCTGCTGCACCCGCTGTTCCATCTGCACAGAAGGCCAAAGCCCCTCACAGGTCTCAGCTCCCACGGACATCCCCCCTGGGCCTGCCCGGACCACGCTTGCATGGGCCATGCCCTCTCTGGCCTTAGCCTCTGAGGGATTCTCTGAGTGAGACCTCAGGCCGGCAACCTTCCCCTGGTCCTTCTGTAATGACAACTGCCACATTTCAGCCATCCCTGGGTGGCTCTGTTCCCTCACATCACTTGGGCAGACCCTGGAGACATGCACTTTTCAGGGGCTGCTCTGGGAGGTAGAGTCCCTGTCACAGATGTTAAGCAGAGGGGAACTAACTACCTTTCTTTCACTGGGCTCCTGGCAGAGGGATTCTAGATTCTGATGGGGGTTGGGCTCCAAACCATCTGGGTTCCTCTTAGACCGAGTTTCTGAATAGAGGAGACTGGTGGAATCAATTCTAGTGATGAACCAGGACAAAACTAGGAGACATCCAGGACCTCTTGTGGGCCCCCTGCCCTCCCCAACTGCATCTGGTAGAGTTGAGCACCGGCCACATAGACCCCTTCCTGCTGGCCCAGCTCCAGGGGGTTCATAATTCAGTCAGTGTTAACTGAGCCCCTCCTCTTGCGCCAGTCCCACCTCTCAGTGAAGTAAGTTACACACATCAATAAATCCCTCTGGCTTAAGTTAGTTTAACCAGGGGTCTGGCAGCTAAAAGGTTGAGTGACCCTGGTGTGCAAGTGCATGTACACAGACTCCCAGCTCCCATCCTGAGGGACAGCCCACCTCCTCTCGATATCCTCCTGCTCCTTTGCTCTCCTTCCTCTTCCTCTTCTTCCTCCTCGGAGCTGGCTCCTCTGCCCTGTGACTGGACTTCTTTTTCTTCTTCACAGGGGACCTGAGGCCATCTTCCATTGGGATGCATTCTGAAGCCTCAGCTGTGGCTGGCTTCTTTTTACTTCCTTTCCTAGGGCTGCTCTCCATGGACCTGGAGGGCTTGGGGTGGCCAAGGGTGGTGTCTCCCTCCTGGTGAACTTTCTTTTTCTTCTTCATCTTTACATTGTGCTTCCTGGGGCTCCCCTGCTTCCTTTTGTGCCCCAAGGTTATCTGTTCCTGGTCATCCTTTCCCAGTGAGCAACCTTGCAGAGTAGCCCCGGCCTCGTAGAGCCCAGGGTCCCTGGCTGACAAGACTGTGGCCTCCTGGGCTTTTTTCTCTTTCTTGTTTTTTTTGAGTTTCTTGCAAACTCTGGTCACTTCCTCCCCCTGTCTGGGGTCCAGGGAGGTTTTCACCCTCAACCCAGAGGACATGGCCAGAGGCCCCAAGGACTTCCCCTTCTTTCTCTTCTTCCCGCTAAGAAACTCAGATAGACCAAGAGCCCGAATCCTGGGGCTGGGAGACTTCTCTGTCCGTTTGGCACGTAACGTGGTCTCAGGTTCTTGGTGCTCCTTGCATATCGTACTGTGGTCCTTCTTTTTCTTCTCCTTCTTCTTCATTAGAGGCACCTCGGGTGCCTGCCCTCGGATCACACTCTCCGCAGGTGACATGGCTCTTGTGGGACAGACCTCAGTGAAACAATTGTTACTGTTCAAAACCGAGTACTGAGTCTCTGGTTCTTTAACCATCACCTTCTTCTTCTTCTTCTTCTTCTTCTTCTTCTTGTTTTTCTCTGAAAGTCCCAGGTCTCCTTTGTGGGTCTTGGTGATCATTCCTGGAAAACAGAAATGGTACAAGTTTTCCCTACACCAAACTGCCCTGTGTACAAGTCAACAAGGTATTGCCAAGAATCATATTCTTTGAGTGGATGGTTTGAAATGTTAGGAAATGGGCAGATGGGCATGATTCCTGTGGAGCAATGGGAAGTGTGATCAAAGAAACAGAATGGAGCTAAAATTCAGACAGTCTCAGGTTCAAATCCCAACTGTTCCCTTACCTTGGGCCACTCACCTATTCTCCCTGAGCCTGAATTTCCCATCTGGAAAATGGGGGAAATACCCATTAGTATCAAAGAGCTGCTGGAAATAAATGAGATCATCCACGGAATGCTTTCAACCCTGTTGAGTCTTTGATTAGTATCAAAGAGCTGCTGGAAATAAATGAGATCATCCACGGAATGCTTGCAACCCTGTTGAGTCCTTTTCCTAACCGCCTTCCTCAGGTCTCTAAGCCTAGTCACTCGTTCAACAGAAATTTACCAACGGCGTACCCTGTGCCTGCCACTGAGGGTACAACTACAGTCAAACCAGAGAAACAAGGCACTGCCCTCAGGGGCTCACCTTTCACTGGATGAAGGGTATAAAAATCCTGAGGTCAGCCTTTCTTGCCAACTCCCACCTGAGGCAGTGACTGTGGCACAATTAACCCATCACCTTGGTTCATCTAAACAGCTCTTCCATTTGTGTCTGGAATTAATTCCCCCAACCTGCACCCCAGTTGACCCCATGTGGCTAGTAATAAGAGCAGCAGAGAGGTATGGTGGGAGGAGTGCCAGCCAGGGCTGAGAACCCGTGTTCGAGTAATGACTCTGGTTCTCTTGCCTCACAGCCATTGGCTTCCCCAGAACTCAGTTTTCCCATCCATAAAAGAGGGGTTGAACTAAATCAGGTGTGGGATGGGAGAAGAAGAGGACATCCAGCCTGCAAGCCTGCTTTTAGTCTTTCATATAAATGGCTAACATTTAATGACTGAAGATGACACATAGCAACCTAGACTGCCCAGCTTTTTTTTTGGAAAATGTCAGGGAGGCACCTGTGTGAAGGAGCTGGGGCCCTCAATACATTTCTACTTCCAGCTGGGCTATTTCTCTCACTCAAGTCACCATCCCAATTCCTGCTGCTCCCTGGATGACATGGAGACACTCAGGGACCCAGAAACCAATGTTCCCTCACAGGAGGTTTGGACTGTGAGAGGGAACACTGGTCCGGGGCTTCTCCATCTTGCAGCTCACTTCAGCATCAAACCCCAGGGGCTCCACACTGGACCAGGCCAGGCCTGAGGGGGGCTCAAGTGCACTCAGAACTGCTCCAGGAGGGCCTGTCCAGACCTCCCTTTGCAGGTCTGGCTCCAGACCACAGTAATAAAGTGAACATCACAATAAAGCAAACAGCGATCTTTCTGCTGGTGAAGGCCTTGCCTTCCATGTGTAAACACACAGCACCTGTGAAGTGCACTACCGCAGAGCACAATAAAACGGGGACCTGTAATCCCAGAGCTCAGCTCTGCACCTGGCACAGGAGGTCCTCAGAAACACACACTCACTGAGGGATGGACACTAAACATACAGAGATGAACCAAATAAAACACCTGCCATCGAGAAGCAAGCAGGCGCAGGAGGCAAACAGGTGTGATGACACAGGTGGTAAAAGCGTGCATCGCGGTGATGTCAGGGTCATGGAGGTTTCCTGACCTCGACCACAGTGGTCAGGAAACTGAAGCACCATTTCCCAGCTCTGGCAACTGCAGGATGTCGGCCCTGACCCTGGGACCAGGGACCTGAAGATAGGGGCGGGGCCGGAGGCGTGCTGTTTGAACAGAAGCCTTGAGACGCACAGTGGAGATGTTCGGTGGGTTAGGGTGCGAGGCTCCGGGTGACTACACTGACATGGGCAACAACGGTTTCCGAATAGGTGGGTGGTCATTTGGCGCTGAACGGAAAGTGTGGGAAAGACCCTTGGGGAAAACGACATGGAAATGGATGGGCGGAGAAGAAGGGGAGCGGAAGGGGCGCACCTGGGGAGGGGGGCGTCCCGGGAGCCTGGAAGCCTGGGACGGAGAAGGGCGACCTAACGAGAAGGGAGGCCAAGGGGAGAGGCCAGCGCACCCCCCTTCCCGTCTAGGACATCGCGGAGCCCACCCCACCCGAAGGCCGTCCAGTCCCTCTGCGGCCCGGACGCAGCCCCTCGAGGGCAGCAAGGGGCATCACCTCCGGCGTCTGAGAACACCAAGGCTCCGCCAACCTGTTCGCAGCCCGGCGGGGACGGGTGTGACCCACCTCGGAGACCCGCACCCTGAGGCTTGGGAACGGACTCGGGTGCGCGGGGCCCCAAAGTCGGCAAGTGGCTGAGCAGCGCCGCCGGCTCCCAGCGCGGCCCCTGCGGGACGCCGGCCCGGGGCCTCCGCACGGACCGGGAAGCACCAGGGGGCCCGGCTTCAAGCCGGAGAACTTCCCGGAGGCGGCAGCCTCGGCCAGGGCGAGCGCACCCAGAGGCTGGGGGCGAACTTGGAGTGCAGGTCGCCTGCTTCTCTCTCCCTGGCCGCCCGAGCCCCCAGGCCCACCTCCGGACCCGCTCTCACCTGCGGCCAAACCTCGCCTCCACAGGACCCGCCGCGCCGTGACCCGGAAGTCGATGTGGAGGCGCTGGCCCGCCGCCGCGCGCTCCTGCTGCTTCCGGGTCGCGGCCGGCAGCGCACGGTTGCCGTGGAAACCGCGGCATGGCGGCGCTCGGGCGGGTGGGCAGCCGCACCGCGCAGCGCGAGGAGCGGGCCGGCTCCTTCGAGTCGCCGGGCGCCCCCAGGACGCCGCTGCGCCCCGCGCCTCTCGAGCCGCCCGTGTCGCCGGGGAAGGGGGCGGAGCCACCGGGCAGGAGCCTGTGGGAGCAGATCTGCGAGGGTAGGCGGCCCGGCCGGCGCCGGTGGCCCTGAAACGGGCTGGGTCCGCGTCGGGAGCGGAGCGCCGGGGGCCGCCGCGCCTGGACCCGCAGAGCTCCCCACTCTGCGCCCGGGAAACGGGCCTCGAGGGTCCCTGAGGTGATCCCCCGCGGCCTCCCGTCTCCAGCCGTCGGCAGGTGGCAAGTACGGGGCAGAATGGGGAGCGCAGAGTAACACGGGGCCCGGCGGCGTGGCCCAGAGAGCGCTCACCTCGGTTAACGACCGGAGAGGTCGCGGGGCGCCCAGGACCCGCCCTAGCGCCTGGCGGAGGTCCAGTGGTCTGCACGATTTACGACACCCGGGGAGTCGGATGTTGACCATCTGTGGTCCACACGTTGAGCAGCGTGGGCTAGACACGCGTTAACCCCTCTCCGCTTCTACCCTTACCTAAGCTCCCCAAACAGACGCTCACCTTCCTTCGTGGCCCTACAGATGCAGGCCCTTGGTCCTGAGGCCCCATAAAAAGCACTCCACGTACGTTGGGCAAATTATTTACGTGTGTCAGGAGGCTGCACCTGAACGGTTGCAGAAAGCACTTAGAAAGATGCGCGATTTACAGCAAGAGCTCAATAAATGTTCGCTCTTAAGAAGCAGTGCCAGGTGTCTTTTCCCTTCCCCTAGACCGTAAGCTCCCCAAGGTCCGGAACTCCGATGTTTCATTCTTGTGGCTGTCCTCACTACCTCCGCTATCTGAAACAGACAGTGTGGCAGTCACCAGCCACAAGTGGTCACTAAGCACTTGAAATGTGGTCAGTACAATTTTGGAACTGAGTTTTTTGTTCTACTTAATTTTAATACATTTATATAGTCTCCCCTGACCAGTGGCTACTGTATTGGACAGTACAGGTCCAAATGTTTGTTGGATAGAAAAGAAACAATGGATGCACCAGTATATGGGTCCAGGTGGAAGGAGAGAGGGATGAGTGGAGAGAAGTGGGACATACAGAGGAGGAAGAGAATAATGGACTCGAGTTCATCAATGCCCTCAAAGGCCATTCATTTAAACTTCCATCCTATCTCAAATTCCTTCTCCAAGCACTACATTATATATATTTATGTATATATATTTATGTATATATATATTTATATATAAAACTTTCATCTTGAATGTCTTCCTTGTAAGTTGTACCCATTGGTCCTTACCTCCTTAGTGCTGTGACTCAACGAGCTAATCACTCTACCATAAAGAATCCACTGATGTTGGAGGATTGTTATTTAGCAAATGTACTCTTTAGTGGGCATTTACTGATACTAATACAAGTGGTTTTGAGTAGTTCAGAGCTTTCAATTCTCCAGGGCAAATAGCCCTTCATAATATAATTTGCTAGTAGTGTTTTCTTCGGGAAGCTGCTCAACCTCATCTGTAAGAGAGGGATAATCCTTGTACTTACCTCACACGGCTGTCATGAGGATTGAATAAGATGTTGTATGCAAAGGTGCTCACAATGTGCCCAGCACTTAGAAGTGCTCAATAAACATTTGTTATTGTTGACGAAGAAACATGCTTTGCATTGTGTTTTAGAATCATGGGTTTTATTTCAGTCAAACAGGCCTGTAGGGAGCAAGCAAAGGTCAAGGCTTTGGTGCTCTCTGGAAAGCAAAGGAGATGACACCACTTATGAAGCGATAGAGCTACAACGTGAGGTTAATGAGATCAGGATGGTGAATTCTACACACTGGCACGTTAATGATTATTGTGACCTAGATGAATAAGCCCAATTTCTTTTTTGTTGTTGTTTTTTCTTTATTGATGTTAGAGGAAAAGAGAGAGAGAGAGAGAGAAACATTGATGAGAGAGAACACTGATTGGCCGCCTCCTGCATGCTCCTACTGAGGATCTGGCCCACAACCTGGGCATGTGCCCTGACCTGGCTTCAAACCAGTGACCTCTTGGTGCATGTGTCAGCGCTCAAGCACTGAGCCACACTGGCTGGGCAAAGCCCAAATTCTTAACACAAACATTCTAACCAACGCAATTTTCTATAACAAACAGTGAGTAAATTTTCTCAGAACAAACATGAAAAAATAGGCTTTGTGGTAATCCTGTCTTCGAGGTTAAATATTGTATTGTTAGACTATATATATTTAAAAAGCAAATTCGCACAACAAACAGACCTGTCAGAAACTCAGTCTCAGAAAGATGAGATACAGCATAGGTAAATATCTAACTTAAACAGGCCCTTTAGCCTACCTGACTAGTGTTCTTCGTGTGTGTGTGCATGTAGGGGGGTCACCTTATGATAACTTATTTGTAAACTTTTTTTTTTTTCATCTTTCCAGTGACAACTCAGGGCTTTGCGTTCTCAGAACCACTTGTATTAGTATCAGTAAATGCCCACTAAGGAGTACATTGGCTAATAAATGTGGCACACATATGTAGCAGCCTGGAAAGATGTCCAAGATTTGACATAGTGGGCTCTTAGTAAACACCAACGAATGAGTCAGTAGGTCAAGGGTCAGAAATAACTTGCAGCACTGTTTTGTTCATTTATTCATTGATTATTTATGCCTTCATCTATTTAGCATGTATTCTGTGAGGATATGATGATGAGCACGAACAGACCCGGGTAATTTCATTACAAAACAGTCTATTAGAAGAGATTAATTTTTACAAATTTCAAAAAAGGGTAAAACTAATATGAGTTGTGAAGGAAAAGGACACAGTGTCATAAGGTTCCATACTTGGATGAGTTGACCTAGTTTAGGAGATCTAAAGTAAATAAATGTATTTGTGTATTACATATGTGTGTGAATAAATGCACTGAAAGATGAGGATGGATCTATGCCAAATCTGTCAATGGCTGTTGATTGTAATGGTGTTGTGTGTGACTTAACACTATCTACATAAGACATCTCTGTATTGGAATTTTCTCACAAGAAGCTTTTGTAATCAGACAAAATTATAAAGGTATATATCTTTTTTTTTTATCCTCACCTAAGGATATTTTTCCATTTTTTTGTTTAGATTGAGTGGGACGGAGAGAGAAAGAGAGAGAAACATCGATGTGAAAGGGACACATCGAGTGGCTGCCACCCACACGACCCAACTGCAACTGAGGTACGTGCCCCTAGGGGGGAACCCAATCCGGGTCTCTGGGGACCACAGGCTGACGCTCTAACCGCTGAGCCAAACCGGCCAGGGCTAAAGGTATATATCTTAAATTCAGATAGTTTTCACCCTATATTGGTGATTCTCAAAGGACAAGGGGCGGGTCAGTCTGTGGCCATACCATCCTGAACACACCTGATCTCATCTAAATCAGAGAGATCATTATAATTGGGCCGGACCTACTCCGGTGAGCACCTCCAACAAGTCAGAGAGACTGAAGCAGAAGACACTCCTTGCCTTCAGTGAGCCAGTAACCATGTGGGAACTGCCCTGTGACAAGTACTGAGGGCAGCCTCTGGGAGCTGAGGGCACTCCTCACCAACAAGCAGAAAGGAAACGGGCACGCCAGGCCTACAGCCACAAGAAACTGAACCCTGCCAGCAACCACTGAGCTTGCAGAGCACCCCAGCCCTTGCATGAGATCATGGCCACGGACAGCACCTGGATTTCAGCCTGATGAGACTTGGCCCATCCCCAGATTCCTGACCCACAGGAATTGATCATAAATTTGTGTTGCTTGCCCTGGCTGGTTTGGCTCAGTGGTTGGAGCATCGGCCTGCGGACCAGAGAGTCCCGGGTTTGGTTCCCAGTAGGGGCACATACCAAAAAAAAAAAAAAATTGTTGCTTTAAGTTTGTTATAATTGGTTACATAGAATAGAAAGCTAATATAGCTAGTATTGGGGATCAGAATTGCTTATCACCTGCAGCCTGGCAGGCATACTTGCCTTCAACCTGATACCTAGGCATTAAAAAATTATTTTTGTTTAGAAATGCTCTACTATCCGAGAAGGAACTAGATAATGAAATACAACTTGTGTCCAATACAGCTGTATCCCATCAAACCCTCCTACCCAGAAACTTCGTTTTTCCTTATCAATGCAAAGCAACTGTGCAGTCACCTTTATTTTTTTATTTTTTTATTTTTTTATCCTCATCCGAGGACATTTTTCCATTTTTTGTTCAGGTAGAGTGGGAGGGAGAGAGAGGAACAGAGAGAGAGAGAAACATCGATGTGAAAGGAACACATCGAGTGGCTGCCACCCGCACAACCGACCAGGGCCGGGGACAAACTGCAACCGAGGTATGTGCCCTTAGCGGGAACCGAACCCGGGTCTCTCAGGACCGCAGGCCGACGCTCTAACCGCTGAGCCAAACCGGCCAGGGCTGCAGTCACCTTTAAAACATTGACCTTTCCAGAAATACTTTTGTCAGTCTTTCCTTTGAGGGTGTAACTCATATGGCTGTGGGCATTTTCTGCCCATCTCTCAGCAGTAGCCGCAGCCCTGTGGAGTTCCTAGAGTGTTCTTTGCATTCAGCTGTTCAGCACCTTGGCTGTGATGAGCCTTGAGACCTGGCCTCATAACGCCCTCTCACTGTGTTAGAATCACCAGGAGAGCTTTATAAATACTGATTTCCAGGTTCTTGCCCAACCCTATTAAATCCAAGTTTCTGGGGTTGAGCCAAGACATCGGTAGTTTCAAAACGCTCCCAGGTGAGTCTGGTGTGCAGCCAAGATAGGAGACCACTGGAGCTTATAGCAGGGCTTCTCCACCTTGACCATCAATGCAAGTACAAATCACCTGGGATTACGTTAAAATGCTGATTTAGGGCCAGCTGGTCTGGGGTGGGCCTGCGATGTTAGATTTCCAACTCCCCAGGGATGTCAGTGCTGCTGGTTCTGGGCCATACTTTGAGTAGCAAGGTTTTGTGGGCTTGCTTTCCCAGTTGTGAACCCAAACTGGCAGTATTACCAGTGAGTGCCGGGCATGGCTCGTCTCTCCTATCTCATCCTACCCTGCCATTTCATGCTCCTCCTTTCCTCGCTCCTCCTCCCTGTGTGCTTGTTTCCCTGGCACCCTCCGCATTCTCTGGGAAAAGTCTCCAACTCTATAAAGCCTGGACTCTTCCAAGTGAGCAATGATCACTCATTTGTTTTAAATAAGGTGCTCACATGAATTATTAACCTGTAATGGCCAGTTGTTTCTCATGTCTATTAAACCACTAACCAAAATAGAAATTAAGAATGTTTTATTTAGAGGAAATAAACGGTATAGAACTGAGGATTTCCTCCCACTCCTAGAGTACGACGCTGAGCAGCCTCCTTTTCCAGAGGGATACAAGATCAAACCGGAAGTTGTGATCACCGTGAGTACTGCCCCACCTCAGCCTGAATGAAAGGCTCTTAGATGAGAACAGCGCTGATAGCTGGTGGATGTCACACAGGGTCATGAGCTATGAAAGGCACTGGACGAGAACCAGAAACATGGGCCAGTCCTGGCTCTGCTACCAGCAGTGTGGCTCAGTCTCCACATCTGTTAAATGGATCAGACACTCCTTGACTAATTCACAGTGCCTTGGTGGGGCTCAGACTAGATCCTGGGTGAGAAAGGCCTTTCCAGTGGCATCAGCACCGTGCCCATGTTGGGTGCAGTTGCAGAGAGCAGGTTTCCCTGTGCATGCCCAAGTAGGCAAGAAGAAGACTATTAAGGAAAGGGCCAAGAACAGGGCAGCCAGGAAAACAGGCCCTCAGGAAGGCCACTTGGAGTAAAATAGGAACTGAATGGAGTTTAAAATAAAGCAAGACTCTGAGAGATGAAGGGACTTTGGCAGGGTCACAGGGATGAGACTGAAACCTCAGACAGAGGTTCAGTATATTACTGTGGCTGCTGCTGTTAGAAATTTTGTGTCTAAGAACTACCTTGGCCTGTGATCTTGTTTCATAGCATCCTGTTCTTGTTTTATGGATGCAATGTTTCCTCAAATTTCTCTGCAGATACTAATCACAGTCCCTTTGCTGAATTTTCTTCTTCCAGGGTCAGTTGTGGTCTTTGTACATCTTGATCTTTGTCATTTGTGCTGTTGATGTCCTTTACCTGTGTAGGAAGCTGTGACTGTTTATTCAAAATTTAAAATGGGGGCCTGAATGGGTTTTTCTACATAGCTGGAATGGTTTTCTACCGTTGTACACGTGGGTTTGTTTTCTAGATGGACCTACTCTGAGTAGGAACACTGGCTGGGAGCTCATGGGGAGTGGCTGACTACTGGAAGGCTCTCCTTCAGGGTCTGCAGGCAGGGAGCCTCCCGTAGTGGGGACATTTTTTTTTTTTTTGTCCTTTGATCATCAACATGGCACCCTGAGTAGGTCTGCTCCTTCCAAGATTGTCTGTTTAGTGTGTTTATAGAAAAGTCGTGAAGGAGAGCGGGACAGAATGTGGCTACGAGCCTGGTGTCATGTCTGTCGAAGGGGCAGGAGCGGGAGAGGGGAAACGTGGGTGGCAGGCCAGTGGAGGGAGCCCTGCCAGATTCTCACTGAGCCTCTTTCGATCATCAGCCCCGTTCACTGTCACCCTCTGAGGAGTGAAACCCTGAGTATGGAAGCTCTGGAGTCCTGGTGGAAAGTCGGACTCCTACCCTCCGGGCAGTTCATACTGTGGATTTGGGGTGCTGCTTTCCCTCTCTTACCTGATGATGGCCTTCCTCCTCATTTCCTTAGGAAATGCTGGCAAATCTCATCCACTGATGGGCATCATATTCCTCTCTCTTAGAGATTCATTCTTCGTTTGTCATTTACGTGTCAGGAGGATGAGAGACAAAGACGTACTCAATGTGCCCCCTTGAACCTCAAGTCATTTTATTCCTGTGTTAGGTTATAAAAGGAAATGTAACCATTTAAGCTATTTGATTGAATCGATTCTCTCTCCTGCCCTCCAGGTCTCCCCAACGGAAGACCTGGCTTTCCACGGCTTCGGTGCAGAGCCCCTTCATTCCGTGCCCCCTTCGGCCGCAGACTCTCCTGTGCCCTGCACTCAAGTGAGACTGGAAACAACCAATCCAAAAACATGTGCGTAAGGAAGACTCCCGCTCACAGTTCAGGTTGTGACTGCGAAACCACAGCGTGGGCTTGGGGCGGACAGACAGACATCAGGGAGACCACATAAATAAGAATGTGTTCTTGTTTTAATTTTATTTTTTAAAAGTAGCCTTTATTCCATTGATTTATCTTTAAGGTTGAAATATAATAATGATAAATAACAAGCATACTCTGATCATGCTTTATTATTTTTTTAATCCTCACCTAAGGATGTTGTTTCATTTTTATCTTCAGACGGAGTGGGAGGGGGAGACAGAGAGAGAGAGGGAGAGAAACATCAATGTGAGAGAGACACATCAATTGGTTGCCTCCCTCAGGACCCAGACCCGGGCCAGGCACCAGAATCGAACCTGTGACTCTTTGGTCTGCAGGCCGACGCTCTAACTGCTGAGCCAAACCAGCCAGGGCTGATTCTGCTTTAAATACAAAGGCACAAAAATGTGCAAAGTAGAAGACAATACCATGCTGCTCCACTTTGTGGGTTGAGGTCAGAAATGTAGGCTTCCTAAGCTTTCCTGCCAGGTCCCGGTTCTTCTGGCCTTCCCTGGGGCCAGGCCTCCCCACGGCTTGTCTGTTCTCCCTGTTAGTGTGCTCTGGGCCTTGCCCACTGGTGCCATCACTGCCGTGGCCATGAGGCTCTGCCCTTGTGCCCTACTCTGTCCTCTCCGACCTCAGCTCCTGCCCCACCGCCTTGCACACCACTTTGGGCCACACCAGCCGTGCGTGTGGGGCCCTGACCCTGCCTCTCCGTCCTGCAGAGGAGAGTCCGCGTCTCTTCAGGAAACAGCCCTAGTCGGCAGTCTTAGAACATTTAAGTGGTGTTATTTCATGAACAGTACCTTTTTCTGGTTCAGAAGCAAACATCTCTCCCAGATTAACTTGGCTGTGTGAACCCTGAGAAAGAAGACACCTACTAAGAAGGACAACCAGTGGCTAACTGGGCTCAGATTTTACAATCAGAGTCTGGCAGCCCTTTATACACACGGCCTCACGCAAGCCAAGCTTTTGGGAGAGGACTGCGCTGAGCCGCTGGCTGCCTGCTTCCACAGTGGGCTGCCTGCCTCACCGCTCTGCCCTCTGGCCAGGGGTCCTGGGATCCTGTTCCCCAGGCAGGACTGGGGCTTTCCCCATCTGACTGCAGCTGTGCAGCCCACCAGCCAGAGCGGCTCTATTCTGAACAATCAGGGCAGTGCTTTTTGGATCAATCAAACAGCAAGGATTTAGAGTCCTCATTTGCATGAAGACAGACCAATCAGGGACCATGGTCTGGGACTTCTGTCAAGAAGCCCCTCTGGCTCTAAGAGCACACTTTCTCTTTCCACAGAAGACTGGAGACTGAGTTTCTCTAGCTGGCCTGAAACACCAACAATATCCCACCTGAGCAGAGTGGAGCCGACCAGCACAGCACAAAGCAGCCTGGCATGGAAGCAGGGCCAAGCAGAACAGAGCAGGGAGGAGCAGGGCTGAGCAGAACAGAGCAGGGGGGAGCAGGGCTGAGCAGAACAGAGCAGGGGGGAGCAGAACGGAGCAGGGAGGAGCAGGGAGGAGAGGGCTGTGCAGGGAGGAGCAGGGCTGAGCAGACCAGAGCAGGGAGGAGCAGGGCTGAGCAGGGAGGAACAGGGCTGAGCAGAACAGAGCAGGGAGGAGCAGGGCCTAGCAGAACAGAGCAGGGAGGAACAGGGCCGAGCTGTCCCGCCAGAAAGGGGCCTGACCTAGGGGTGGCTCACAGCTGTGCTCTGTCACGATTGAGCTGTGTTGCACTGAATACAGTTTTCTTCACTGCACCTCAAGTTGGAAATTCTTGCTGGTGTTGAATTGGCACCAAAGACCATAGATTGATAGCCAACCATCAGTTGACAGCTGTTTGGGATTTTCAGTGGGAATCTCATTGTTTGTTTTAGGTCCCCCCAGAGACTATTTGGAAACATTCATCTTTCCAGTTCTGCTTCCTGGTATAGCCAGCCTGCTTCACCAGGCAAGGAAAGAAAAATGTTTTGAGGTCAGTGGTTTTCTTTCTAAACACTGAGTGATTTCTTATTATCATACGGTAACTCATTATCTCAGTACCATCAAGTGGTTGTTCTCAAAGTGATCCCTGTGAAAGCCTGTGTTTGGGGCCACGTACTCGGCTCTGGCCATGGCACAGAGTTGTGCACATGTGTGCACTGCCCTCTGTCTGGCCACTGGGCTCCGGGGGTATCTGCCCGGTTTCTGGGGCCTGCCCCTTCTGTTTGTCACGTGTGTGGATTGAAGTGCCCCTTACCTTTCATCCCACTCTGGATGGGTCTGCCCACCTCTGGCATCTCCCTGCTCTGCACTGACAGGATATTTTGGGTATATGTATTCCCTGCACAGTTTTGAATACTAGAATTTGGGGTGGCCCACATGAAAGCAATAAAATAGCAACATTTAATATTGACCAAGCACTTTGCAAAAAGGTAGTAACTACAGTGCCAACCTCAGTCAGTTTGACCTCTTGGTCACGGAGAGCTGGATACTGCCTGGCAGCCCTTTGCACACTGAGAGGCAGGGCTTTCCTGGTAGACGCTGAGCTCCGGCGCAGGTGAGTTCAGGGGGGCCTCCACCTGCTCCTTCTGCCTTCCTGCTGGAACCAGGACCACGGCAGGTCCCCATTCACATTGACAGCAGAGGGCGCCCTGTGGAGGACTGAACAGCAAAGGCTGGCAGGATTCTGGTGCTGGCTGTTCCTTTCACCTGTGGCTGATGGCTGCCGCAACCACAGTAGCAGTAGGAGTGGTTGGAGGGGCTGTCTAGTGATTAGCAGCCCACGGAGTATGGGCGCTGGTCAGATCATCTCACTTTCCCCTTACCACACCCTGTACATAAGATCCCCTTTTACACCCACCTCCTCTGGTGGGGGAGGCCCCTGGGGTGCAGAGAGGTTGAACATCACCTGCTGTAGCCCAGCTAGTGAGCCATGAAGCACAGCTTCCGCCATGGCTGGACGATCCTCGAGCAGGGCTTCCATCCTCCAAGAAGTGGGAGTCGGCTGTCCTCTGAATGGCTGCGGACAGTACCGCGTTGTCCACAGCTGCCTTCTGCAGAGGGATCGCGACTTGTCTTAGGTTATAAAATCTGAACTGCTTCTAATTATGCATTTTTCATTTGCTCATTTGGTTTTCCCTGACAACTTAATTCTTTTGCCCTACTCAAAATTGACCTTCTCCTTTGTGGGGTTAAAAGGGTTAGGTGTGGCCAGGGAGAGTGGGAGGGACGCGGGAGGCCAGGGAGCAGAGCCCTCCGCCTGGCCTGCCATTGTCAGGGCCCTTGTCTGGCTTTGGGACCTGCTGCTAAATAAGGACGGCCTCACAGGTCACATTGCAGGGACCTTCTGCTTTAATCTTGCTGTTGGCCCAACTGTGTGCAGTGTGCTGTGCCTCACTGGGCTGCGCGGAGGACAGCGCAGCAGCGAGATGGGGGTGAGCACGACCGAGTCCCCTGCGTCTGAGTGTATGCAAACAGACTTGGAAACAGTAAGTCACCTAAGTTCTGTTCCATCCAGCAAGCGACTGTGAGCCCTACTGTGTGCTGATCACAGGGCCAGGCCCTGGGGCACAAAAAGGACAAGGTGTGGCCCTAGCCAGTTTGGCTCAGTGGTTGGAGCATCGGCCTGCGGACCAGAGAGTCCTGGGTATGGTTCCCGCTAAGGGCACGTACCAAAACAAAAGAAAGGACAAGGTGTGGCCCTGTCCTCAAGGAAACCAGGCTGGTGGTGATGCCTTCAGTAGCTCTAGGAAGTGGTGAATCAAGACAGCTGTGAACCATTTGCTCCTCTGAAATTCATTGTGGCACGTGATGGAGTGGACTGGCCTGGGCGTTCCCTTCTGACCGCGGGGCAGCTGCGTCCAGGTGTGGAGCCTTCATTCGAACCGACCTGCTGTGATTCTTCTCGTCTCCACCCTTCCAGGGCACAGACACCAGCTGAAAGGGCAGTAACAGATTTCACGCTGATTGTTGCCTACCTGATGTCTGCCCATAAGCAATTTTGTAACACGAGGCAGAACGGTTTTAGCCTCTGGGCAAAGATAAAACCCTTTCACTGATCAGACATCTCTGTGCTGGAGGCTGTGGGCGTCGGTGTGACCTCCCCTCATTGCAGATGCCTGCACACGCCCTGCCCCAGGACTGACAGGCGTCTGCCCACGTGCTGCAGGGCCTCAGGTGGAGCCTGAGGTTCACAGGTGGCGGCAGCTGACCAAGGAGTGCAAAGAAGGTGGCCCCTCAGACTGTCCAAGTTGCAGGAATGGACACGCGGTACAGGGGCCGGCACACTGAAGAGGGGTGCCCTAAGTGACTGTGAGTCGCAGTTTCTTCCCCTGTCAGGGGTGACAGGTTTTCCTGTGACTGGAAGTGGGAGGGGGCATACTGAGTGATGCTCAAGCATCATGACGGGGTGTGCGTGTCCTGCCACCGTCCTGTGGGCTGGGCTGGCCAGCTCGGCATTCTGAATGCTCTGAGTAGGCCTGGTGGGTGAATTACCAGCAACCTGTTTGATTTCCTGACTCAGGAGTTCTCCCCCCCCCCACCTCACCCCTGTCCCACAGTCCTGTGGGTCACTTTTGAAGGCTTAACATGAGGTCACTGAGTCTGAACATCTCAGACCCTCGTGGCACTGTGGTTCCCTCTCTGCCCACAGCTGTGCATATCCTTGCTCAGCTTTCCTCATCCTGTCCCTGGCTGGACGCTGAAGAACAGCCAGCCTCCTGTGGAACCAATAACCAGGCATTCCCCTCGTCACCCACTGGCCGGAGCTCCAGTGGCTGCTAAATGGCAGCACAGTTCAGTGTCTGTTGGGGTGGTTTAAATTATTTCTTGAAAGCATTTATATCAGGTTGCTGAAGAGTGACTGCTGACTGGTGTTTGCCCTCTAGTCATTTTTTCTTGCTACCCTTATTCTGTTGTGTGGTATGACCCAGCCCAGTACCACGTGGGAGGGGCCCACTAAATGTTTGTGGGGTGTATGAATGAAAACGGTTCCTTAAAAGTCAGGGTCTAGTTTCAAGATAGCAGTTAAATTAGGAACACTGTCAGTTTGCCTGGCCATTACCTACACGGTAACTCACTGAGTCCCTGCAGTGTCTGGGTCTGTCCTGCTGCAGGGACCTGGACTGTGAGGCTGCCCCGGTCTGTTGGAGCCAGAGCAGAGGAAGGAAGTCCTCGGATTGAGGCACTTTCAGAGCCCTGCTGCAAGCACCTCCCTACAGGAATTCATTCAATTCTCCCAGCAGTCCTCCGACTGGGCGTCATTCTGCCATCTGCAGATGAGGCTGTGCAGCCTGAGGGTCAGTGGTGAGCACCAGTGCACCCGAGTGGCCAGAGCCAAGATGGAAACCAAGCGGTCTGGTTCCCGAGATGAGGAGTTTGATCACTACACCGTATTGCAAGTTGGCCTGAGGGCTGCCAAAAGCAGAAGCCAGACTCGGATGGGAAAGAAGGGTCTGGAGCCGGAGGAGAGGAGTGAGACACCAGGCAGTCCTGGGGCAGTCGCCAGACCAGGCCTTCAAGCAGGCTGCGTGGGGCAGAGCCCTTGACTTAGACCATCTTGTATGGACCATGACACTCCCAAAGCATGAGGGAGTGGAGCGGAGGCAGAGAGCAGGGAGCACTCGGCCAGTGACACATGGGGGTGGGGAACTTGGGTGTGTGCGTGTGTGTGCGTGTGCCTGCCTGCCTGCTCATGGATGGGCAGTCTCTGCAGCTTGGTTCCGCATTCAGAATCCGGCCTCCGGGCTCAGGCAGACTACTTCCAGCCCAGCTCTGCCCTGGACGGGCTGTGCAGGCTCCATGGTTCTGATTTTGATTCATTAATAGCCTGATTCTTTTATTAAGTGCCCTTAATATTATGAATTGGATTCCAAGTAGTTTCATAGAGAAATAAAATAGTTTCTGATCAAATAGTTCCTAGTCAAATAGTTTGCTTATCATTAGCTATTTAAATCTTGTAAATGCTCAGAATAAAATTCAGCTTATTAAATAAGCAGATATTCTTCTATTCCTACTTTTTAGAGGAGATCACAGTTGGGAGACTGAACCTTCCGCACCTGATTTCCAGGAATTATTTAGTCTTAGCCTTCATGATGTGAATTTAGCAAGTGAAATAGATGTATTTAATCCTTTCCCAGATGGATGTTTTCACCTGTGTATAAAAGGTTGTAGAAAAGATTACAGTGGCCTGTGTGTGGCATTGAAGTAGTGACTGTCGATAAATGAGATCAGTGGACCTCTCACATTTGCTGTGAAATTAGCTGGATGCTAACAGTGCTTTGTATTTTGTTAAACAAATATACTCTGACAGATAAAAAATGGAAAATGATTACTTTGTACACAGAACTGCTAGAAGTGTATATGTGAGTCAGCTATAGATATGTGTACAGGTACTCCCTGTGTGTGTACTAGTGTACTGGCACTCCCCATGTGTGTACCAGTGTGCCAGCACTCCCTGTGTGTGTACTAGTGTACCAGCACTCCTCATGCGTGTACTGGTGTGCTGGCACTCCCCATGTGTGTACTAGTGTACCGGCACTCCCTGTGCGTGTACTGGCACTTCCCGTGCATGTACTGTGTACCAGCACTTCCTGTGTGTGTACTAGTGTACCGGCACTTCCTTTGTGTACTGGTGTGCCGGCACTTCCCATGTGTGTACTGGTGTACTGGCACTTCCCATGTGTGTATTGGCACTTCTGTGTGTGTACTAGTGTACCGGCACTTCCTGTGCGTGTACTGGTGTGTGCGCGTACTGGTGTACCGGCACTCCCTGTGTGTACTGGTGTACTGGCACTTCCCGTGAGTGTACTGGTGTACTGGCACTTCCTGTGTGTACTGGTGTACTGGCACTTCCTGTGTGTACTGGTATACTGGCACTCCCTGTGCGTATACTGGTGTACTGACACTTCCTGTGTGTACTGGTATACCGGCACTCCCCGTATGCGTACTGGTGTACCGGCACTTCCTGTGTGTACTGGTGTACCAGCACTTCCT